TTTTGATGGAGTTGGAGAGATTTACAACGCTATCTATTTCAGCATCATCTATCACATTTAGTTTTAAAAAGTTAGTTGATGGAGCTTAACATGGAGATCTACTGCATGATCATTTTAGTCGAAAAGTAGATCTGTGGTTCGATTTGATGGCAGATACTGTGATGGCGGTAACTTGTTTTCTTTGATTGCAGGAGTGGTCAGTAGTTTCTTTTGATTCGTCAATGTTTTTAATAAGGTTGCATTTACTGAATTGGTACGAAGAGCTACTGTGTTTTATGTGGTATTTCTTTCTTCTTGTCTTTCACATTATATTTTTTGGGTTTTGATATGTTTGTCTTTTTTCTCGCTCGTTGGCAAGAGGACGGAGGTCACGACCATTTTTCAAAATTGCACTGTAAGTGGTGAAAATTAAAATTTCATTTTAATGATTTTGCATGTTGATTGGTTGTAGCAAACATGAGAATACTGACTCTCTTACTTACGCTGGCAAGTTCTCAGTATAGTCTGCTGCATGTTTTACGGTCTGTGAGCGACAAAAGAGGGAGAGTGTGTACGAAGAAGAAAAATAGAACGGCAGAGGAAGAGAGTGCGTATGAAATTTTACCTCATTATTTTATTATTTGTGTTGCATACTTCTCATTTATTCTTTCAATTGTTGCAACATTTGCATCTTCAGTATGATAAAATGTTCCCTTCACTATTTAATGATCATTCTGATATATTTCCTCCACACCTGTCCACAGGCGGGAAGCTGAGAACTTACTCAATTCTGGTTGGTGGCTTCTTAAAACACTTAGTATCTCTTGTCTTTCTCTCTCTCTCTCTCTCTTTCTTTCTTTAATCATTCTTAAACTTAATCTTCAATCCTAAAATGCGATTGAATGATTTCTTCAGTTGCTTGAAAGTTACTTGTTTACCATTTGCAAAATAATATACACTCGTTATAACTTTGGCTTTAGCTCATACATAGTGGTAGATCAATATTATTTTTAAGAAATACAACGTAGTTGGTGTTTTTAGGGTAACTTGAATAAACTAATAATTTTCTCAAAATATTTTACTTTTCTCTGTATGGTCTACTGGTTTTCCCTTTGGATCATGGCTAGTAGACAGAATGACTTGTGGTTGTTGGCAAATATATAATATCATCCTTAGAGATATATTTAAAATTAGATAGTTAGAATTGTTATTTTCAACTAAGATTAGGAATTGAATGTTGATTAACTTTTATGTATTAAAGCTTATAGGTATCGAGTATTTAGTGAGTAGCTAGTGATGCATTCAAAACTAAATAGTTAGGATTGCTTTTTTCAGATAAGACTAGGAATTGATGTTGATTGATTTTTATGTACTAAAGCTCATAGGTATAGAGTACTAGTGATAGGCCAGAAAGTCTTTGTTTGATTTTAGCTCTAACACACTGGTCGGTTAGTATTGTTCTAAGATATTCGATGTAATTGGTGTTTTAAGATGACTTGAATCATTTTGTAGGTTTTTGGAGGTAGATTACTTTCTTTTGTATGGTTTAATATTTTTTTGTTTTGGTCATAGCCCGTTGTTAGAAAGATGGTGGTTGTTGGTTGTTATGTGGTATCATCCACAGTGGTTTATTTAAACTTAGATGGTTAGGATTGTTGAGTAATGTTAGGAAGTGGACACTGATTGACTTTTTATGTATTGAAGCTAATAGGAATAGAGTAGTTAGTAGTAAGTTTGTGGAGGTAAGTTCTTGTTTAATTTTAGCTCCAAGATGGTGGTAAATTATCGTTTCAAGGGAAGATATAGAAGAAAAAGAAGATTGCAAATGTATGTAATTTTCTTTTGAATCTAATTCTAAAAGATAATACATAGTTTGAATACAATAAGAGTTAAAAGTAATTTGTAATTGAAAAAAGAGTTTGACAAATAAAAGTATCAAGTAAAGATAGTTTATAAGATGACATCACTAGTAGAACATGAAGAAGAGTTTTGAGTATCGGAGTTAGCCAACAGGTTAATATACCTCGCAATAAATATACTCATTTGCTACATTAAGTGTGTATTGGACCCTAATAGTTTATGTAATGTGGCCTCCGAACGTATTGCAAAATGCTTCACTTGCAATGAAAAAACAATTTTTTCTAGCACCCGAACTAAATCTACTGCAAGATTATATCCATAAATTATGGTGTAATAAAAAAATACGAAATGTAGATGGAGAGCCAAGCTTTCTTACTTCATTAAAAAACTATTATGGTGTAAGTGACAAAGAAATTCTAACTTAAAGATTTATCATATGTTAACTTTACTTTAGATTTAGATTGGAGGATTATTTTATTTTAAGAGTTTAATTTTTAGAAATCTATAATTTAGAGTTATCGTTCATTTTCTTATTTTGAAGATCTTAGTGATAAAGTCATGGATTAAATAGTTCAAGGTGTTGCGAGTTGATATAGTAGATAGAGGATGATTGTAATTATTGAAGGATGTTCATTAGAATATTGTTTTCCAATTATGAAAAGTGAACTTAGGGATTGGTGCTTAAGAAAAAGAAATGTTTGGTAAATTTACAACATTAGCTGTATGTCAAAAATACTGTTGGAAGAGTTGCAAGTGATGACTATTGGAGAACCTTGACTTAAATTTATAGTATATCTATTTGATATTTGAATCCAATGAATGTTTGTTTTAAGAATTGAGGTGATCTAGGATTTTGACTACTAATTGCCTAGAAATGAGTAAATAAAAGTGAAGGATAAAAAAATAATAAATCTCAAATATCAGCCTATAGAACGAACATGTCATTTTTTACATTTGTATGAGTTGAAATGATTATAAATTAATAAAATTAGCATTATTTGCTTAATGAATTTCTTTTATGTGTGTATACATAACAGTATTCAAAAAACAATTTTAAATATTATGCTGAGAATAATAAAATTGTCCTATTTTGATGTTTGTTCTTTGTTTTAGTCGTTTTTTTAATTTGAAGTTTTGATATCCGTTTTGTCATGCCAAACTATGCATATGTTACATTTAATTGCTTAGTTCTCTTTTCATTTAAATTACAATATAGAAAAATCTTATTTATTCATAAAAAGATATGTTTATTGTTCTCTTTTAATGCTTGTTATTCCTGGTTCTAGTTGATTTTTTTTTTATATTTCAATTTTGGTACGCGTAGTTCCCATGGAAAATTATCCATATGTTCTATTTATTTGCTAATGATTTTTTACTTCTTTGAATTATAATATTGACGAATCTTTATTATTTACAAATTGATTTGCTCACTTTTATTTGCTTATTGTTAATTTCGAACTCCAAAGATGAGGTAAATAATCGTGTACCCAATATTTTGTTTTTGCTCAGTAGTTAAAATAATTAGCTCTTGTAATTATGTGACTCTTTAAGCGAAAAATTTAAAATAGTCCAGTTGTTTGTTTTGCATTTTTTATTCTTTTATAGATAACATTGTTTTGTTACTTGAGTGGTCTGGGCGCATTTTTATCTTTTTTTTTTGTCCTATTTTTAATTGACATGCAGTGGTTGGTGTCCATATTTATCATACATGAAAGGTATTACTTTTCTCTAAATATGTGGTTGAGATAATGTTGCTTTAATGCATATAAAGAACCTAAAAAGTATATATATTTTGATTGTATTAAATAATTGATTAAATTAATTATCTAAAAAATTATAAAAAAATATCATAGTTAATTATTTATATTCTAACATAAATTATTAAAATTTATTGTAAAATTATATTTATCCGTTTTAAATTTATTTATTTTTATTTTCTTTCAGTAATAATTAATAAAAAAAAATCATCTAGAAGGTGCTCTTTTTCATTTTTCTGTCAATTTTTATTTTTTTTATTTTTTTCTATTTCCCAGTAAAATCCACATTCACATTTTTTAGAATTAATTAAAAAGTGTTTATCACACATTCTTATTTATGATATTTTACTTAAAAAAAACTTTTAATTTATTATCTCTTTCTTAATAATTACAGTTTTTTATCATAAAAATATTTTCATGCCAAACTATGCATATGTTACATTTAATTGCTTGGTTCTCTTCTTTTATATTTCAATTTTGGTATGCATAGTTCCCATAGAAAATTATCCATATGTTCCATTTATTTGCTAATGGTTTTTTACTTCTTTGAATTATAACATTGACGAATCTTGGTTATTTACAAATTGATTTGCTCACTTTTATTTGCTTATTGTAGATTTCAAACTCCAAAGATGAAGTAAATAATTATGTACCCAATATTTTATTTTTGCTCAGCTAGCTAAAATAATTAACTCTTGTTATTATGTGATTCTTTAGGCAAAAAATTTAAAATATTCCTATTGTTTGTCTTACATTTTTTTTTATAGATAATATTGTGTTGTTACTTTTCTTCAAATGTGTGGTTAAGATACTGCTATTTTAATGCATATAGAAAATTCAAAAAGTATATATGTTTTGATTGTATTAAATGATTGATTAAATTAATTATTTAAGAAATTATAGAAAAATATTATAATTAATTATTTATATTCTAACATAAATTGTTAAAATTAATTGTAAAATTATGTTTATCCGTTTTAAATTTATTTATTTTTATTTTCTTTCAATAATAATTAATAAAAAAAATCATCTACAAGGGAGTCTTTTTCATTTTTCTGTCAAATAATCATGTACATTTTTTTAGAATTAATTAATAAGTGTTTATCACACATTCTTATTTATGATATTTTACTTTTAAAATAAATTTTTAATTTATTATTTTTTTTATTAATAATTACAGTTTTTTATCATAAAGATGTTTTAATTTTTTATAAAATATAACAAAAATTTAAAACAACACCCTAAGCCTGGCTCCGGGTAGTTTAACTTTTTTAATGCAGTAGTTGCTTTTTTCTTTCTTTTTCTTTTTTTTAAAAAGTTTTTTAAAAAACAAATTGACCGTTGTCGGCGTCCTTTTAACGCAGTCTGAATTTCTTTATTTTCCCTTTAAAAGCAAACTGACCGTGCGATTCTCCTCTTCAGACCACCTTCTTCCTTTCTTTTACTTTCAAAAAGTTTTCAACGTTCTTTGTTTTCAGATCTGGCCTTGCCCAGAGAGAAGAAGAGAGATACAAGCACAAAAGAGAGAGAGAAAAAGGGGAAAAAGACAGAAACGACCAGACATGGATCTGAAACCCCTCCATTCTCTTCAATGTCGAGAGGGAAATAAAAGAATATCAGAAAGAGGTAAGGAAGAAGATGATAGAAAACAAATTAAATTGTCCTCTTTCTACCATTCTATTTCTTTTTCAGTTTATTGGGAGCAAAGAGCCAAATAGAGAAAGAAAAGAAGAGCAAAGAAAGAGGGAAGAAGAAGATCGAAAAGAAGATAGATGGGTTCTCTTAAAGACCCAACAGTATTGAAAGATTCAATCTCTTGCCCACAAGCCTTGCGCAGAGAGGAGAGAAATACAAGCATAACAGAGGGAGAGAACGGGGAAAAAGACAGAAACGAGCAGACATGGATCTGAAACTCTCCATTCTCTTCAATGTGGAGAGGGAAATAAAAGAATATCAGAAAGCGGTAAGGAAGAAGATGATAGAAAACAAATTAAATTGTCCTCTCTCTACCATTCTATTTCTTTTTCAGTTTCTTGAGAGCAAAGAATCAAATAGAGAAAGAAAAGAAGAGCAAAGAAAGAAGGAAAAAAAAAGATCGAAAAGAAGATATATGGGTTTCTCTTAAAGACCCAACACTACTTAGTCATTCTGTTAAATTTCAATCTCTCTTGTTCACAAGCCTTGCCCAGAGAGAAGGTGAGAAGTACGAGCATAGCAGAGAGAGAAAAAGGGGAAAAAGACAGAAACGAGCAGACATGGATCTGAAACTCTCCATTCTCTTCAATGTGGAGAGGAAAAGAAAAGAATATCAGAAAGAGTTAAGGAAGAATGATAGAAAACAAATTAAATTGTCCTCTTTCTACCATTTTATTTCTTTTTCAGTTTATTGGGAGCAAAGAGCCAAATAGAGAAAGAAAAGAAGAGCAAAGAAAGAGGGAAGAAGAAGATCGAAAAGAAGATAGATGGGTTCTCTTAAAGACCCAACAGTATTGAAAGATTCAATCTCTTGCCCACAAGCCTTGCGCAGAGAGGAGAGAAATACAAGCATAACAACGGGAGAGAACGGGGAAAAAGATAGGAAAGAACAGACATGGGTCTGAAACTCTTCGTTCTCTTCAATGTCGGAAGGGAAAGAAGCGAATATCGGAAAGAGATGAGGAAGACGAAGATAGAAAACAAGATTAAAATGGCTCCTTCTATCATTCTTTTTCTTCTTCAGTTTCTTGAGAGCGAGGTATCAAATAGAGAAAGAAAAGAAGAACAAAGAAAGAAGGAAGAAGAAGATCGAAAAGAAGATAGATGGGTTTCTCTTCAAGACCCAACACTACTTAGTCATTCTGTTAAATTTCAATCTCTTTTGTTCACAAGCCTTGCCCGGATAGAAGGTGAGAAATACAAGCATAACGGAGAGAGAAAAGTGGGAAAAAGACAGAAACGAGCAGACATGGATCTGAAACTCTCCATTCTCTTCAATGTGGAGAGGGAAAGAAAAGAATATCAGAAAGCGGTAAGGAAGAAGATGATAGAAAACAAATTAAATTGTCCTCTCTCTACCATTGTATTTCTTTTTCAGTTTATTGGGAGTAAAGAGCCAAATAGAGAAAGAAAAGAAGAGCAAAGAAAGAGGGATGAAGAAGATCGAAAGAAGAGATATGTCTTTCTCTTCAAAGACCCAACGGTAGCCGGAGGTGATTTTTACTTATCTCTTAATATTGGTAGGTGATCATTCATGGAGTTTATTTTTATTTGGTTCTCCTATCATGGAGTTTGCATAGGTGACTTATTCTTCTTATTTAATGTTTTTAGTTTCATAAACTTGTTTTGTTATGTGTGGAAGATGAAATTAGAGATATAGCTGAAAATAACTGATGCTGACAAACAATTAGTTAGTTAGTTAAGAACAGATGCTACGTAAATAACTGGAAACCTGGCAAAGGAAGACATGCAATGAGGAATAATGAATTGTTGTTCTCTTTCTCTCTGTGTTCTCTTCTCTGTTATTCTCTCTCTCTGCACTTCTCTCTTTGTTTGCTACATTCTATAAACCCTAAAAGCCCTCTTCCTAAATTTCACACATAACATATTTCTAAATTAATTCGAGTTCTTTCTTGTTATGAACATAGCAGCAACTTTCTAAACTGGGGAGATGTTGTTTTTCTTATTCCTTTCTACCATGATTTATAGACTTGAATTTTACTCAAAAATAGCAGCAGTTTCTTGTTTTTTCATCTAAATATTCCAGATTAGCTTCAATAATTTTACAGACAAACTCTCTTCTGGAATTTGATTTAGTAGGTTCTGTTTTTGATGGAGTTTGCAAAGGTGATCTTTTGGTCTCTGTTTCTAAATACATTTAACATGTTCCTTTGAGCCCCAGGTAGGTTTGTCTTTCTTCTTTTATCCTATTTTTCATTTTAATTTTGTTTTTTTCATCCTAATTTGTTCTTTAATATTTTTTGATGAAGTTGGAGAAAGTTACAACGCTATCTATTTTCGCATCATTTATCACATTAAGTTTTAAAAAAATTTCATATGGAGCATAGCAAGGAGATCTTCTCCATGATCATTTTAGTTAAAAAGATTTGTGGTCCGTTTTGATGGCAGATAATGGTATTGGCAGGAACTCGTATTTTTCAGTTGCAGGAGTACTTGGTCAACAGTTTCTTTTGTTTCTTCAATGTTTCTAATAAAGTTGTATTTACTGAATTGGTAATCAACATATTAGAGCTAGACCACACAGTGGTTTAGTACTATGAGCTGCTGTGTTTTATGAAGTATCTCTCTTTTTTTTCTTTCATATTATATTTTTTGGATTTTGGTATGTTTTTCTTGTTTCTTGCGTCGCTGGCAAGAGGACGAAGGTCATTGACCATTCTTCTTGTAAGTGATGAAAATTCAAATTTTATTTTAATGATTTTGCATATTTACTAGTTGTAGCAAACCTGCGAATACTGGCTCTCTTATTTACGCTCGCAGGCTCTCAGTACAGCCTACAGCGTGCTTTACGGTATGTGAGCAACAAAAGAGGGAGAGAGTGTGTACGAAGAAGAGAATCAGAACGGTAGAGGACGGAGGTCATTTAACCATTCTTCAAAATTGTGTTGTAAGTAATGAAAATTTAAATTTCATTTTAATGATTTTGCATATTTACTGGTTGTAGCAAACTTTCAAATACTAGCTCTCTTACTTACGCTGGTAGGCTCTCAGTATAGCCTACGGCGTGCTTTACGATATGTGAGCAACAAAAGAGGGAGAGTGTGTACGAAGAAGAGAACCAGAGCGACAGAGGAAGCGAGTTCGTATGAAATTTTACCTCATGATTTTATTATCTGATTAGTCAATTATTTTTTTTACTAACTAATCAAACAATAATTTTTAAATTATGCTAGAATAACTTAGTTGAAGGATGGATTTGAACACTAAAAACCTACATGATGATGCATTGATATGAACAATGCAAAACAAACAAATTGTAATTAGAAACCAAAATTGGAACAAAAATACAAAAAAACTCAAATACAGTTACAAATCAAAATACACTGAAAGAAAAATTCAATTGATTTTTTTGCAATTCCAAATAAATGAAACAAACAACTAACTCGAGTGAAATTATAAAAAACTAAAACAAGAAGTAGATGCTGAAATTCTAATACAATTACAAATAAATTCAAATACAATCACAAATTCAAATAAACCAAAATAAAAATTATATTTAGCTCTTCAACTTTCCCAGATAACAAACATCTAAAACACAATAATGAGAAACTATAACAAACAAATTACATCTTACCTTTACAAACAAACTCAAATACAATTACAAAGTCAAGTAAACTAAAACAAAAATTACATTTGGCCCTTCAACTTTTCCTGCAAACAAACATCTCAAACACAATAACGACAAATTACCCCAAACAAATTACAACTACCCTTATAAACTGACAAAGAAAAAGAGTAAAATCCAAATATCAACCCTAAAAACGAATATCTCGTTTTAATATTTACATGAGTTGAAATGATTATAAATTGAATCAATTTAGCATTATTTCGTCGGTGAATTTCTTTATGTGCACATTAACATAGCAATACTTGAGGCTGTTTTTAATGTTATGCAGAAGACAACAAAATTATCCTTTTTTAATGTATGTTCTTCTTGATTTTAGTCTTTTTTTTCTAATTTCAAGTTTTGATATCCGTCCATGCTTGCATTTGTTACATTTAATTGCTATTGATTTTCTTCTGATTTTAATTACAACGTACAAGAGTATTGATCATTTATAAAATGATATGCTCACTTTTGTATAATTATTATAGATTTCAAACGCCAAAAATCAGGTAAATAAATACGTATTCAATATTATGTTTTTTTTATAACTAGTTAAAATTTTCTTTCTTTGTTACTATGAAGATCTTTAGGCAAAAAGTTAAAGAGAGTCCAATCATATATTTTCTCTTTTTTATTCTCTTTTGTGGGTAACACTACTGGAAACATGTTGGGTTATAAGATATTCGTGGAACAAAGGTTTAGTTTTCTTTGCGTACGATATAAATTTTATTTTCTATTATATATATATATATTCTATTTAAAATTATTTACTCAGCAATATTTTTTATGTTTACTTTAATGCAGGATTACCGAAGGTTATTATCAATCTTAAGGAGCACTTTTGAGGTAAATAAGCATGTGTTTTACTTTTTTGGGTAGTTAAAATTTTTATATTTTGTTAGTATGTAACTCTTTAGGCAAAAAGTATAAGATGGTCCAGATGTGTCACTTGTGTTTTATTCTTTTTTGTTGGTAGCACTCTTTTAGACGTGGATTATGAGATATTCGTGGAATAAAAGGTTTGTCTTCTTTCTTTTATCATATTTTTCAGTTTAGTTTTACTTTTTTTAAGCCTAATTTATTTTTTAAATTTTTTTGATGGAGTTGGGGAGAGTTACAACGCTATCTATTTCTTCTTCATCTATTACATTAAGTTTTAAAAGGTTTCATTTAGAACTACAAAGAGATCTACTCCATGATCACTCTAGTGAAAAAGAAGATCTGTGGTTCGATTTGATGACAGATACTGGTGATGACGGGAACTCGTCTTCTTCGGTTGCAGGAGTACTTGGTCAGCAGTTTTTTTTTTTGTTTCTTTAATGTTTCAAATAAAATTGCATTTACTGAATTGGTAATCAGAGTATTGGAGCTGGTCTATTATACAGTAGTTTGGTACTATGAATTGCTGTGTTTTATGAGGTATCTCTTTTTTCTTGTCTATCACATTATATTTTCTGGGTTTTGGTATATTTGTCTTTTTTCTCGCGTCGCTGGCAAAAGGAAGGAGATCCTGACCATTCTTCAAAATTGTGCTGTAAGTGATAAAAATTCAAATTTTATTTTAATGATTTTGTATAATTACTTGTTATAGCAAACCTGCGAATAGTGGCTGTCTTATTTACGCTGGCAGGTTCTTGGTATAGCCTGCGGCGTGCTTTACGGTTTGTGAGCGACAAAAGAGGGAGAGTGTGTACGAAGAAAAGAACCAGAGCGACAGAGGAAGCGAATTCGTATGAAATTTTACCTCATTATTTTATTATTTGATTAGTCAATTATTTTTATTTTTTTACTAACTAATCAAACAATAATTTTTAAATTATACTACCATAACTTAGTTGTAGGATGAATTTGAACACTAAAAACCTGTATAACGATACATCGATATGAATAATGCAAAGCAAACAAATTGTAGTTAGAAACCGAAATTGGAAAAAAATACAAACAAATTCAAATACAGTTACAAATTCAAGTACACTGAAAGAAAAATCCAATTGATTTTTTGCAATTCCAAACAAATGAAACAAACAACTAACTCGAGTGAAATTACAACAAACTAAAACAAGTAGGCGCTAAAATTCTAATACAATTACAAACTTACTCAAATACAATCACAAACTCAAGTAAACCAAAACAAAAAATTACATTTAGCTCTTTAACTTTCCCATTAAAGAAACATCTCAAACACAATAACGACAAAGTACTGGTAACATATTACAACTACCCTTACAAACAAACTCAAGTAAATCAAAACAAAAATTACATTTAACTCTTCAACTTTCCCAGCAAACAAACATCTCAAATACAATAAAGAGAAACTATAGCAAAGAAATTACATCTACCCATACAAATAAACTCAAATACAATTACAAAGTCAAGTGAACCAAAACAAAAATTACATTTGGCTTTTTAACTTTTCCTGCAAACAAACATATCAAACATAATAACGACAAACTGACCAGGAAAAAGAGTAAAACCCAACTATCAACCCTGAAAATGAGTATCTCATTTTTAATATTTGCATGAGTTGAAATGATTATAAATTGAAATAGTTTAGCATTAGTTGCTCAGTAAATTTCTTTATGTGTGCATTAACATAGCAATACTTGAGGCTGTTTTTAATGTTATGTAGATGACAACAAAATTGTCCTCTTTTAATGTCTGTTCTTCTTTATTTTAGTCGTCTTTTTTTTTAATTTGAAGTTTTGATATACGTCCATGCCAAGTTGTGCATATGTTACATTTAATTGCTATTGGTTTTCTTCTTATTTTAATTACAACGTAAAAAGGTCTTGATCATTTATAAATTGATATGCTCAGTTTTGTATAGTTGTTGTAGATTTCAAAGGGTAAAAATCAGGTAAATAAACACGTATTTAATATTATATTTTTTCTATAACTACTTAAAATTCTTTTTCTTTGTTATTATGAAAATCTTTAGGCAAAAAGTTAAAAGAGAGCAAAACCCAAGTATCAGTCCTGAAAACAAATATCTCATTTTTTAGATTTGCATAAGCTGAAATGACTATAAATAGAAATAATTTAGCATTATTTCGTTAGTGAATTTCTTGATGTGTACATTGACATAGCAATACATGAGGCTGTTTTTAATGTTATGCAGAAGACAACAAAAGTGTCCTCTTTTAATGTTTTTTCTTCTTGATTTTAGTCATTTTTTTAAAATTTGAAGTTTTGATATCCGTCCATGCCTGCATTTGTTATATTTAATTGCTATTGGATTTCTTCTTATTTTAGTTACAACGTAAAAGAGTCTTGATCATTTATAAATTGATATGCTCATTTTTGTGTAATTGTTGTAGATTTCAAACGCCAAAAATCATGTAAATGAACACGTATTTAATATTATATTTTTTTTTATAATTAGTTAAAATTTTCTTTCTTTGTTACTATGAAGATCTTTAAGTAAAAAGTTAAAGAGAGTTCAATCGTATATTATCTCTTTTTTGTTCTCTTTTGTGGGTAATACTACTGGAAATATTTTGGTTTATAAGATATTCGTAGAACAAAAGGTTTATTTTGCTTTGCTTATGATATAAGTTTTATTTTCTATTTAAAATCATTTATTTAGCAATATTATTTATGTTTACTTTAATGTAGGACTACAAAAGGTTATTATCAATCTTAGGGAGCACTTTTAAGGTAAATAAGCATGTGTTTTACTTTTTTGGGTAGTTAAAATTTTTATATTTTGTTAGTATGTAACTCTTTAGGCAAAAAGTATAAGATGGTCCAGATGTGTCACTTGTGTTTTATTCTTTTTTGTTGGTAGCACTCTTTTAGACGTGGATTATGAGATATTCGTGGAATAAAAGGTTTGTCTTCTTTCTTTTATCATATTTTTCAGTTTAGTTTTACTTTTTTTAAGCCTAATTTATTTTTTAAATTTTTTTGATGGAGTTGGGGAGAGTTACAACGCTATCTATTTCTTCTTCATCTATTACATTAAGTTTTAAAAGGTTTCATTTAGAACTACAAAGAGATCTACTCCATGATCACTCTAGTGAAAAAGAAGATCTGTGGTTCAATTTGAAGGCAGATACTGGTGATGGCGGAAACTCCTCTTCTTCGTTTGCAGGAGTACTTGGTCAGCGATTTTTTTTATTTTTCTAATATTTCTAATAAGGTTGCATTTACTGAATTGGTAATCAGGATATTTGAGCTGGTCTATTATACAGTCGTTTGGTACTATGAATTGCTGTGTTTTATGAGGTATCTCTTTTTTCTTGTCTATCACATTATATTTTCTGGGTTTTGGTATATTTGTCTTTTTTCTCGCGTCGCTGGCAAAAGGAAGGAGATCCTGACCATTCTTCAAAATTGTGCTGTAAGTGATAAAAATTCAAATTTTATTTTAATGATTTTGTATAATTACTTGTTATAGCAAACCTGCGAATAGTGGCTGTCTTATTTACGCTGGCAGGTTCTTGGTATAGCCTGCGGCGTGCTTTACGGTTTGTGAGCGACAAAAGAGGGAGAGTGTGTACGAAGAAAAGAACCAGAGCGACAGAGGAAGCGAGTTCGTATGAAATTTTACCTCATTATTTTATTATTTGATTAGTCAATTATTTTTATTTTTTTACTAACTAATCAAACAATAATTTTTAAATTATACTACCATAACTTAGTTAAAGGATGAATTTGAACACTAAAAACCTACATGACGATAGATCGATATGAACAATGCAAAGCAAACAAATTATAATTAGAAACCGAAATTGGAAAAAAAATACAAACAAACTCAAATACAGTTACAAATCCAAGTACACTGAAAGAAAAATCCAATTGATTTTTTTTCAATTCCAAACAAATGGAACAAACAACTAACTCGAGTGAAATTACAACAAACTAAAACAACAAATTTCAACAAGTAGGCACTGAAATTTTAATACAATTACAAACAAACTCAAATACAATCACAAACTCAAGTACACCAAAACAAAAATTACATTTAGCTCTTCAACTTTTTCAGATAACAAACATCTCAAACACAATAACGAGAAACTACAACAAACAAATTACATCTACCTTTACAAACAAACTCAAATACAATTACAAAGTCAAGTAAACCAAAATAAAAATTTTACCTCATTATTTTATTATTTGATTAGTCAATTATTTTTATTTTTTTACTAACTAATCAAACAATAATTTTTAAATTATACTACCATAACTTAGTTAAAGGATGAATTTGAACACTAAAAACCTACATGACGATAGATCGATATGAACAATGCAAAGCAAACAAATTATAATTAGAAACCGAAATTGGAAAAAAAATACAAACAAACTCAAATACAGTTACAAATCCAAGTACACTGAAAGAAAAATCCAATTGATTTTTTTTCAATTCCAAACAAATGAAACAAACAACTAACTCGAGTGAAATTACAACAAACTAAAACAACAAATTTCAACAAGTAGGCACTGAAATTTTAATACAATTACAAACAAACTCAAATACAATCACAAACTCAAGTACACCAAAACAAAAATTACATTTAGCTCTTCAACTTTTTCAGATAACAAACATCTCAAACACAATAACGAGAAACTACAACAAACAAATTACATCTACCTTTACAAACAAACTCAAATACAATTACAAAGTCAAGTAAACCAAAATAAAAATTACATTTGGCTCTTCAACTTTTCCTGCAAACAAACATCTCAAACACAATAACGACAAATTACCGCAAACAAATTACAAACTACCCTTACAAACTGACAAGAAAAAAGAGTAAAACCCAAGTATCAGCCCTGAAAATGAATATCTCGTTTTAATATTTGCATGAGTTGAAATTATTATAAATTGAAAAAATTTAGCATTATTTTATCAGTGAATTTCTTTATTTGTTCATTAACATAACAATACTTGAGACTGTTCTTAATGTTATGCAGAAGACAACAAAATTGTCCTCTTTTAATGTCTGTTCTTCTTAATTTTAGTTTTTAATTTAAAGTTTTGATATCCGTCCATGCCTTCATTTGTTACATTTAATTGATATTGGTTTTCTTCTGATTTTAAAAGGGTCTTGATCATTTATAAATTGATATGCTCACTTTTGTGTAATTGTTGTAGATTTCAAACGCCAAAAATCAGGTAAATAAACACGTATTCAATATTATGTTTTTTCTATAACTAGTTAAAATTTTTTTTCTTTGTTACTATGAAGATCTTTAGGCAAAAAGTTAAAGAGAGTCTAATCATATATTATCTCTTTTTTGTTCTCTTTTGTGGATAATACTACTGGAAACATATTGGGTTATAAGATATTCGTGGAACAAAATGTTTATTTTGCTTTGCTTGTGATATAAGTTTTATTTTCTATTTAGAATCATTTATTTAGCAATATTCTTTATGTTTACTTTAATGTAGGACTACCGAAGGTTATTATCAATCTTAGGGAGCACTTTTAAGGTAAATAAGCATGTGTTTTTATTTTTTTGGGTAGTTAAAATTTTTATATTTTGTTAGTATGTAACTCTTTAGGCAAAAAGTTTAAGATGGTCCAGACGTGTCACTTGTGTTTTATTTTTTTTTGTTGGTAGCACTCTTTTAGACGTGGATTATGAGGTATCCGTGGAATAAGAGGTTTGCCTTCCTTATTTTATTATATTTTTCAGTATAGTTTTACTTTATTTAAGCCTAATTTATTTTTTAAAATTCAATTGATGGAGTTGGGGAGAGTTACAACGCTATCTATTTCTGCATCATCTATCACATTAAGTTTTAAAAAGGTTTCATTTGGAGCTACAAAGAGATCTGCTCTATGATCACTTTAGTGAAAAAGAAGATCTGTGGTTCGATTTGAAGGCAGATACTGGTGATAGCGGAAACTCGTCTTCTTCGTTTGCAGGAGTACTTGGTCAGCGATTTTTTTTTTCTAATGTTTCTAATAAGGTTGCATTTACTGAATTGGTAATCAGGATATTTAAGCTGGTCTATTATACAGTCGTTTGGTACTATGAGCTGCTGTGTTTTATAAGGTATCTCTTTCTTCTTCAAAATTGTGCCGTAAGTGATGAAAATTCAATTTTTATTTTAATGATTTTGTATAATTACTTGTTATAGCAAACTTGCGAATAGTGGCTATCTTACTTACGCTGGCAGGTTCTCGGTATAGCCTGCGGCGTGCTTTACGATCTGTGAGCGACAAAAGAGGGAGAGTGTGTACGAAGAAGAGAACCAGAGCGACAGAGGAAGCGAGTTCATATGAAATTTTACCTCATTGTTTTATTATCTGATTAGTCAATTATTTTTATTTTTTACTAATTAATCAAATAAAAATTTTTAAATTATGCTACCATAACTTAGTTTAACACTAAAAAGCTACAAAGCTACATGGATTTGAACACTAAAAAGCTACATGACGATAGATCGATATGAACAACGCAAAGCAAACAAATTATAATTAGAAACTAAAATTGGAAAAAAAAATACAAACAAACTCAAATACAGTTACAAATCCAAGTACACCGAAAGAAAAATTCAATTGATTTTTTTTCAATTCCAAATACATGAAACAAACAACTAACTCGAGTGAAATTACAAGAAACTAAAACAACAAATTTCAACAACAAGTAGGCACTGAAATTCTAGTACAATTATAAACAAACTCAAATACAATCACAAACTCAAGTAGACCAAAACAAAAATTACATTTAGCTCTTCAACTTTCCCAGATAACAAACTTCTCAAACACAATAACGATAAACTCCAACAAACAAATTACATCTACCCTTACAAACAAACTCAAATACAATTACAAAGTCAAGTAAACCAAAACAAAAATTACATTTAACTTTTCAACTTGCCCAGAAAAAAACATCTCAAAAAGAATAACGACAAACTACAATAAACAAATTACAACTATCCTTACAAACTTATGAGGAAAAAGAGCAAAACCCAAGTATCAGTTCTGAAAACAAATATATCATTTTTTATATTTGCATGAGTTGAAATGATTATAAATAGAAACAATTTAGCATTATTTCGTTAGTGAATTTCTTTATGTGTACATTGACATAGCAATACATGAGGCTGTTTTTAATGTTATGCTGAAGACAACAGAAGTGTCCTCTTTTAATGTCTTTTCTTCTTGATTTTAGTCGGTGTTTTTTAATTTGAAGTTTTGATATCCGTCCATGCCTGCATTTGTTACATTTAATTGCTATTGGTTTTCTTCTTATTTTAGTTACAACGTAAAAGAGTCTTGATCATTTATAAATTTATATGCTCACTTTTGTGTAATTGTTGTAGATTTCAAATGTCAAAAATTAGGTAAATAAACACATATTCAATATTATGTTTTTTCTATAATTAGTTAAAATTTTCTTTCTTTGATACTATGAAGATCTTTAGGTAAAAAATTAAAGAGAGTTCAGTCATATATTATCTCTTTTTTGTTCTCTTTTGTGGGTAATACTACTGGAAATATTTTGGGTTATAAGATATTCATGGAACAAAATGTTTATTTTGCTTTGCTTGTAATATAAGTTTTATTTTCTATTTAGAATCATTTATTTAGCAATATTCTTTATGTTTACTTTAATGTAGGACTACCGAAGGTTATTATCAATCTTAGGGAACACTTTTAAGGTAAATAAGCATGTGTTTTTATTTTTTTGGGTAGTTAAAATTTTTATATTTTGTTAGTATGTAACTCTTTAGGCAAAAAGTTTAAGATGGTCCAGACGTGTCACTTGTGTTTTATTCTTTTTTGTTGGTAGCACTCTTTTAGACGTGGATTATGAGGTATCCATAGAATAAGAGGTTTGTTTTCCTTCTTTTATCATATTTTTCAGTTTAATTTTACTTTTTTTAAGCCTAATTTATTTTTTAAAATTTTTTGATGGAGTTGGAGAGAGTTACAACGCTATCTATTTCTGCATCATCTATCACATTAAGTTTTAAAAAGGTTTCATTTGGAGCTACAAAGAGATCTGCTCTATGATCACTTTAGTGGAAAAGAAGATCTGTGGTTCGATTTGAAGGCAGATACTGGTGATGGCGGAAACTCGTCTTCTTCGGTTGCAGGAGTACTTGGTCAGCGATTTTTTTTTAATTTTTCTAATGTTTCTAATAAGGTTGCATTTACTGAATTGGTAATCAGGATATTTTAACTGGTCTATTATACAGTCGTTTGGTACTATGAGCTGCTGTGTTTTATGAGGTATCTCTTTCTTCTTGTCTATCACATTATATTTCCTGGGTTTTGGTATGTTTTTCTTTTTTCTCGCGTCGCTGGCAAAAGGAAGGAGATCCTGACCATTCTTTAAAATTGTGCTGTAAGTGATGAAAATTCAATTTTTATTTTAATGATTTTGTATAATTACTTGTTTTAGCAAACCTGCGAATTGTGGCTGTCTTACTTACGCTGGCAGGTTCTCGGTATAGCCTGTGGCGTGCTTTACGGTCTGTGAGCGACAAAAGAGAGAGAGTGTGTACGAAGAAGAGAACCAGAGCGACAGAGGAAGCGAGTTCGTATGAAATTTTACCTCATTATTTTATTATCTGATTAGTCAATTATTTTTATTTTTTACTAATTAATCAAATAAAAATTTTTAAATTATGCTACCATAACCTAGTTGAAGGATGGATTTGAATACTAAAAATCTACGTGACGATAGATCGATACGAACAATGCAAAACAAACAAATTATAATTAGAAATCAAAATTGGAACAAAAATACAAACAAACTCAAATACAGTTACAAATCCAAGTACACTGAAAGAAAAATTCAATTGATTTTTTTTTTCAATACCAAATAAATGAAACAAACAATTAACTCGAGTGAAATTACAAAAAACTAAAACAACAAATTTCAACAACAAGTAGGCACTGAAATTCTAATACAATTACAAACAAACTCAAATACAATCACAAACTCAAGTAAACCAAAACAATAATTACATTTAGTACTTCAACTTTCCCAGATAACAAACATCTCAAACACAATAACGAGAAACTACAACAAATAAATTACTTCTACCCTTACAAAAAAACTCAAGTAAACCAAAACAAAAATTACATTTAGCTTTTCAACTTTCCTAGCAAACAAACATCTCAAACACAATAATGACAAATTACAAAATACAAATTACAAACTACCCTTACAAACAAACTCAAACAATCACAAAGTCAAGTGAACCAAAAGAAAAGTTACATTTGGCTCTTCAACTTTTCCTGCAAACAAACATCTCAAACACAATAATGACAAATTGAAACAAATAAATTACAATTATCCTTACAAACCTACAAGGAAAAAGAGTAAATCCAACTATCAGCCCTGAAAATGAGTATCTCGTTTTTAACATTTGCAGGAGTTGAAATGATTAAAAATTAAAACAACTTAGCATTAGTTTCTCAGTGAATTTCTTTATGTGTACATTAATATAGCAATACTTGAGGCTGTTTTTAATGTTATGTTGATAACAACAAAATTGTCCTCTTTTAATTTCTGTTCTTCTTGATTTCAGTCGTCTTTTTTTTTTTAATTTAAAGTTTTGATATACGTCCATGCCAAGCTGTGCATATATTGCATTTAGTTGCTATTGATTTTCTTCTTATTTTAATTACAAGGTAAAAGAGTCTTGATCATTTATAAATTGATATGCTCATTTTTGTGTAGTTGTTGTAGATTTCAAATGTCGAAAATCAGGTAAATAAATGCATATTTAATATTATGTTTTTTTGATAACTAGTTAAAATTCTTTTTCTTTGTTATTATGAAAATCTTTAGGCAAAAAGTTAAAAGAGAGCTCAATCATATATTATCTCTGTTTTGTTCTCTTTTGTGGGTAACACTGCTTGAAACATGTTGGGTTATAAGATATTCGTAAAATAAAAAGTTTATTTTCCTATGCTTATGACATAAAATTTATTTTCTATTACATATTTTCTTCTCTATTTAGGATTATTTACTTGCAATATTTATCTCAAAAAAAAAATATTTACTTAGCAATATTATTTTTGTTTACTTTAATGTAGGATTACCGAAGGTTATTATAAATATTAGTGAGCACTTTTAAGATAAATAAACATATTTTTTTTATCTTTTTGGTAGATAAAATTTTTTAAACTTGTTAGTGTGTAACTCTTTAGGCAAAAAGTTTAAGATGGTCCAGGCGTGTCGCTTGTGTTTTATTCTTTTTTGTTGGTAATACTCTTTTAAACGTGAATTATGAGGCATCCATGAAATAAGAGGTTTGTCTTCCTTCTTTTATCGTATTTTTCAGTTTAGTTTTGCTTTTTTTAGTCCTAATTTATTTTTTAAAATTTTCTGATAGAGTTGGAGAGAGTTACAACGTTATTTATTTCTGCATCATCTATCACAGTAAGTTTTAAAAATATTTCATTTGGAGTTACGAGGAGATCTACTCCATGATCACTTTAGTGGAAAAGAAGATCTGTGGTTCGATTTGATGGTAGATACTAGTGATGGTGGGCACTCATCTTCTTCAATTGGTACGAAGAGCTACTGTGTTTTATGTGGTATTTCTTTCTTCTTGTCTTTCACATTATATTTTTTGGGTTTTGATATGTTTGTCATTTTTCTTGCTCGTTGGCGAGAGGACGGAGGTCCTGACCATTCTTCAAAATTCCCTGTAAGTGGTGAAAATTAAATTTTCATTTTAATTATTTTGCATGTTGATTGGTTGTAGCAAACATGAGAACACTGGCTCTCTTACTTACGCTGGCAAGTTCTCAGTATAGTCTGCTGTATGTTTTACGGTCTGTGAGCAACAAAAGAGGGAGAGTGTGTGCGAATAAGAGAGCCAGAGCGGCAGAGGAAGAGAGTGCGTATGAAATTTTACCTCATTATTTTATTATTTGTGTTGCATACTTCTCATTTATTCTTTCAATTGTTGCAACATTTGCATCTTCAGTATGATGAAATGTTCCCTTCACTATTCAGTGATCATCCTAATATATTTCCTCCACACCTGTCCACAAACGGGAAGCTGAGAACTTGCTCAATTCTGGTTGGTGGCTTCCTAAAACACTCAGTATCTCTTGTATTTCTCTCTCTCTCTCTCTCTCTCTCTCTCTCTCTCTCTCTCTCTCTCTCTCTCTCTTTCTTTAATCATTCTTAAACTTAATCTTCAATCTTAAAATGGGATTGAATGATTTCTTCAGTTGCTTGAAAGTTACTTGTTTACCATTTGTAAAATAATATGCACTCGTTATAACTTTGGATTTATCTCATAAATAGTGGTAGATCAATATTATTTTTAAGAAATACAACGTAATTGGTGTTTTTAGGGTAATTTGAATAAGCTAATAATTTTCTCAAAATATTTTACTTTTCTTTGTATGGTCTGCTGGTTTTCCATTTGGATCATGGCTAGTAGACAAAATGAGTTGTGGTTGGCAAATATATGATATCATCCTTAGAGATATATTTAAAATTAGATAGTTAGAATTGTTATTTTCAACTAAGATTAGGAATTGAATGTTGATTAACTTTTATGTATTAAAGCTGATAGGTATCAAGTATTTAGTGAGAAGCTAGTGATGTGTTCAAAACTAGATAGTTAGGACTGCTTTTTTCAGATAAGACTAGGAATTGATGTTGATTTACTTTTATGTACTAAAGTGCATAGGTATAGAGTACTAGTGATAGGCCAGAAAGTCTTTGTTTGATTTCAACTCTAACACACTGATTGGTTAGTGTGCGAAAAGGACCTTGGATTTGAATCTTTTTCGTTGCTATAATGAGGATATGGATGCTCATGTTACAAACTTGAAAAGAACTTAGTTAACATATTAGAAGTGTCTAGAGAAGATAATCAATATAATTTGATTCCCACAGAAAAAAAATATTGATTGATGGATTCTTGCTGTTTACTTTGACATCTAATCTTTCTTGAGAAGTTCCTTAGGACATAAAGTCTTCATTCTCCTTTCCTACTTTTTTTCTCCCACGACCTTTGGAATCTTATCCTACCCAATTTTCTTAAGCTGCCACAATTCTTCTCAAATCTGGTTCCTAATATTGTATATCCAGATTAAGAATCAAAATGAGTCCAAGTGTTATTGTGACCAAATTCAAAATTTTGGGATAATTGCAAGGGGTCAAGCGATTCTGGGAAATGTGAGTCCTTTGTACTTCATACAAAATTAAATTGAATAGAAATGAAGCAACTAGGATTCCTACATTAGTCCTCATGCTTTGATGTCATATGAAATGATTAATTCTTTGATCAATTATTCGAAAAGCAAGCTGATTGAAAAGATCGAGTCTGTTTATCTCTGATAAAACAACTTAGAATTGTTGTAACCATGTTAATTATTGTTTGAACTGTGATCTGTTTGGAAGAGAAACAAAACCTTCCTTATATTATTTACTTCTTCATCTAGAGGAGGATTGTTAGTTGACCATCTATTATATATATATATATATATATATATATATATATATAATATCTGGTACTGTGTTTCGGTGCCATTGGTTGCTTTAAATTTGTGATATGTTATCTAATTTATCTTCCAAAACTTTTGCCAATTTTGGAAAATCTTTGTTGCACTGTTTATACAGGTTGGTGAGGATGATTCTGTGATCATTATGACACATGAACCAAATTGGATTCTTGATTGGTACTGGAATGATGTTTCTGGAAAGAATATCGAGCACCTAATATGTGATTACTTAAAAGGAAGGTGTAAACTTCGATTGGCAGGGGACTTACATCATTATATGCGTCATTCATGTGTTCAGTCAGATAAGCCTGTGTACGTACAACATTTACTTGTGAATGGTTGTGGTGGAGCTTTTTTACACCCAACCCATGTCTTCAGTAATTTTTCCAAATTTTACGGAGCGGCATACGAGAGCAAGGCAGCCTATCCTTCTTTTGATGATTCAAGCAGGGTAATCCCTGAATTTAATTTTGTGTCTATACATATTTAATTGTTTTATCAGCTTCATATATGTATCATATTTTCTACTACATGCAGATTGCACTGGGTAATATTCTAAAATTTCGAAAGAAGAACTGGCAATTTGATTTCATTGGCGGCATTATATACTTTGTGTTGGTTTTTTCGATGTTTCCACAGTGAATTTCTGCTCAATTTTTTTCAGTTCTAGAAAGCCATGCCTGTTAGTTTAACTTTATATGTCCTTGGATCCTCCTTCCATAAAAATTAGGATGTCTTAGTTCTTCTTTGTATATGTACTAGTTTGCAGGGTGCTAAAACTTACCTTTGGTGGAGTCCTCTTTCTCCATTAGGATTATGCAAAAAAATAGTTTTAACATGTAAATATTGCTGTGGAGCTGGAATATTACTCATTTTTCCTTGTAATCTTCAGTGTAAGCTTGATCACATCTTGCAAGATGATTCATTTTCTGGTCACTTGAGGAGTTTCTTTGGCACAGTGTGGAATGCTTTTATGCACGTGTTGGAGCACTCTTATGTGTCCTTGGCTGGTGCTGTGGTATTACTGATAACTGCAATTATTTTCGTCCCTTCAAAAGTTTCTCGGAAGAAACGAGTAATAATTGGAATCCTTCATGTTTCTGCTCACCTGGCAGCAGCTCTGATTCTTATGCTGCTTTTGGAACTGGGTGTAGAGACATGCATTCAGCATAAACTGCTAGCAACATCTGGTTAGTTTATTAGCTGTATGTTGTTATTTAATAAAATCTTATAGAAAGATGTTATTTTAATAGGATTCACCCGGATCCTTACTTCTGTGTTACTTCAATATCTTCTGGTTTGTGTGGCCTAAATGCCTTCTTTCACAAAAGATAAGTAGACCAGGAAACTCTTGAAGTTAGGGCAAAGATTGACATTTGATATATATATATATATATATATCAAAATATGAATATGAGGAATATTAAGATGATAGTTTTTATCATTTAAACAATAACGCTATTCATTTTGAGGTAATGTGTTAGTATTTTTCTTTCTTCAGGTTACCACTCTTTGTATCAGTGGTATCGGTCAGTGGAAAGTGAGCATTTTCCAGATCCTACTGGCCTTCGAGCTCGTATAGAACAATGGACGTTTGGTCTTTATCCAGCATGTATCAAGTATCTTATGTCTGCTTTTGATGTTCCAGAGGTAAGATATCTCTCATCTTCTGGTGATAAATGTTCCAAATAATATTCTAAATTATTGGGAGAAATCTTATAGGTAATGGCAGTAACACGGAGCAATATTTGCAAGAATGGGATACAGTCACTCTCTCGAGGGGGTGCTGTCATTTATTATGCTACTGTCTTCCTCTATTTTTGGGTTTTTTCAACCCCTGTGGTTTCCTTGGTGTTTGGCAGCTACCTGTATATCTGCATTAACTGGCTTCACATCCACTTTGATGAAGCCTTCTCCTCTCTTCGAATTGCCAATTACAAGTCATTTACACGATTCCACATAAAGCCTGATGGCGACCTTGAAGTTTTCACACTTGCAGTTGATAAGGTGAGAAACTAGTCAACATTTAATGGCATATCTATGGGTCTTAATTGATCAAATATGCTTCGGTAATTTCTTCAAGTACTAATTTTCTCTTGTACTTCCTTTTAGATTGCAGTGTTACTGTTTCCTTTTATATCTTGGTGTAGGATATATTAAGAAAAGTGAGAACATAGAACCATGTGCAGTTGCCTTATATAATGTCGAGTGTTTTTTTTTTTTTGAAATAAAAAGTATAGTGTGTATAATTGATTCACAAGCACTAAGGAGGTGCCAACCCATGTACAAAGTGTTCACATATCAATAAAGATATCAATAAGATCTCCAAAATCCTTGATTGAATAAAAAGAATGACCAAAACAAAAGTACTCACGGTCTGGAACCATCTATTCATAACCCTATCAATATCTTCATCTACCACCTCAAAAGTTCTCATGTTTCTCTCTTTCCACACTACCTAAAATATAGCAAGAAGGACGAGATCCACATGTTTGTTAACACCACTGATACCCCTCCAGACCCAGATCTCATTCCTTACCTACTCAGCCATCATTTGACTAATCCCCAGCAACCCATAAACCATAGTCCATAACTTGTATACGAACGGACACCAAAGCAAGACATGATTACAAGTCTCTGCATCTCTTTTACATAGAAAACAACTGTTCATCATTATCGTTTACCTTCTCATCAATTTGTCTATTGTCAGTATACACCCCATTGGCCTCCTACGTGAAGAAAGCTACTCTGAGAGGGGCTTTGACCTTCCAGATTTGTTGAAAATGAAACCTGGTTTTTGTAGTATTATGCTTAGCCAGGTAATTATAGAAAGACCTGATGGCATTGAGACTCAATACTGGTTGGTTATTGCTATTATTTTGCTGACATGAAAGACAAAGTATTTAGAAACATCTCGTACTCGTTAATCTCTCAATCATTGAGATTTCTCAGCATATTTACCTGCCACTCCCTTCCTTCTTATATCTCTGAATGATTCACTGACTGTTACTTGTGTTGTGTGATAGTAAAAGTCTGAGAAAACTGATCTCTAAGTGCTCCTCCTTTTAGCGACGGATCCTGCCAAAATCTAATTTTGTCTCCCTTGCCAACCCTCCAACTGATGCATACATATCATAAATAAGATGTTATTTTTTTTCCACTATCCTAAGTGTAAACATCACTGAGGGGCTAGGTAATCTTATTTGGATGCTAGACTCCATGTGTGGACATAATATCGACCTATCTAATGGGACTTACAAGAATGTTGAGATTTTTGTCACTTAAATTTTTTTTCTATGGAACTAACTTCTTGGACTGTAAATAGCCAATGGGACTTATAAGTAGTTATTTTGCACGAAAATGAAGAATTGCACTTGATGTATGTAATCATTTTTATTTCCTTGTGTAGTAATGCAGTTGAAACCTTAACAAGCGGTCTCATTTGTTTTAATTTCTATCCTATTCCTATTGTTTGTTTTTTGTTAATTATTAGCATATTTGATATAGACATATATGATAGTTTCCATGTTCTCATCCTTTCTACCTCTAGTTTCAATTCCTTAGGGATGGAATTCCATTTCCTTCTTCACTATCATGTGGTGTAGAAAGAGAAACATGAGAGCTTTTGAGGGGGGTGGAAGATGAGATAAGGTTAAAGATAGATGGTTTCAGACCCTTGATTTTTTGATTATGGGTTTATCCTCTTCTTGCACTGGAGGAATTTAGGGGACTGTATTGACATTAATCGGTTTGTACATTCTTTTATACACGGGTTTGCAACCTCTTAGTCTTGTGAATGAATCATATCTTACTATTTTTATTTTTATTTTTTAAAAAAACTATTGACAATACCATACCATCTCAAGTTGAATAGAAGGAGAACAAGTTCCCATTCTGGTAGATATGAGAAGTGAATGTACCTTCCAAAATCGCTTTTTTTGCATGAGAGGTAGGTCGTAAATCTATTTTGACCATCGACAAATTGATGAAAAGGGGAAGGATCCTAATGAACGGCTGCTATCTTGGTAAGAGGGCAGAAGAGACTTGTGACCATATTTTACTACAATGCCCCTAGTGTATAAGCATATAGGGCATTGGGCATCCGTTGGGTAATGGTGGATGATGTGAGAAAAATGTTATGGGCTTGGAAGAGCGTTAGTGGTAGGAAAAGTCGTTTATCTTTTATTCCTCTTACAATTTTTTATGTAGTACGGAAAGAGATGAATAGAAGGGCTTTTCAAGGGGTAGAAGATGATGCTGATCAGGTTAGAGCTAGGTGTCAAACTTTTGGGTTAGTTGACTAGGGGAAAATTTTTTTATTCCATGAAGATATAGGAATTTTATCAATTGATTGATTGACATGTAAATATCTTTTGTACATAGGTTGACATCCTCTTGTAATTAGTGAATACTTTATACTTGTTATTTCAAAAAAAAAAAAAGAAAAAAACCATATCATCTCCAAGGATTTCATTGAAGAGAATGTTATGACATTTCTCTTTATAGAGCAATAAATACCTAGTTATCTTTAGGATCCCTATGACACTTATTTAGGAAATAGCTTATATAGTAATGTATGGATGGCACAAGTTTTACATGGGAAAGTATTATTGGAGGTGGAGGATCTAATAATATAGGGATAGTACTTGTTTTGTCTAATATATGCAATGCCCAAACTAATCAATTTCCCAAAAGCTTGAAGGTGAACAACGGAAGTTGGGGCCCATGCCCATACAGGTTTGACAAAAAGTGACTTATAGTCCCAGGTTTCAATGATAAACTCAAAGGGTGGCGGGAAGAATTTAAGGTGGAGGATTTTGCTATTTAGAGTTGTCAAGAAGCTTGCTTCGATTGAGGACAAGTTTAAGAGGCGGGACAAGGAGGAGTTAGGCTAGGATTGTAGGAAGGAGGAACTCCTTGTGCAGTTATAGAGCCTTGATGGCTTGGAGGGGGGATTAAGGTCTTTCTGAGGAGGATGTCAAGAAGCGGAGGATCAGGCTTGTATGGGCCAACTTAATCCTCACGGAGGAGGTTGCTTGGAAACAGAAGTTTAGAACCAAATGGATCAAGGAAGGAGATAGAAACATAACATTCTTTCATTGTATGGCAAATCTTAATAGAGAGTGTAATTACATTGAGGAGTTAAAAGGTAGGAAAAGAGTGGTTAAAGGGAATGATGAATTGAGAGAGAATGTCAAGTCTTTTTTAGAGTTATATACTGAGAATTTGAGTTGGAAACCGACCTTAGATGGCCTCAACTTCAGTAGGTTGAGTAGTAAGATTGCATATATCTTGAACAGGTGTTCTCTGAGGAGGAAATCTATGAAGGTATTTCATGTTGGAAGGGAGACAAAGCTCTGGTTCTGGATGGATCTAACATGAAGTTTTATCTGCAGTACTGAGAACTTCTAAAGAATGATCTTGTGGTTGGAATTTCACGCTATGGGGTAGTTAGTAAAAAGATTGAACTCAGCTTTTTGGTTGTTCATCCTGAAGATCTAACAGGTTTTCAATATTAGAGACTTCAAGTCTATTAGTTTAGTGAGCAGGGTTTACAGAATTATTGGTTAAGTCTTGGTAATAAGATTAGCTAAGGTGGTTGGAAGTGTAGTGGGAAATGCTAGCATGCTTTTGTGAGGGGAAGACAAATTTTGGATGTTGCCCTTACAGTTAAAGAGATTGTTGATAACATTTTGAGAGAAGGAAACCAGGGAATGTTGTGTAAACTTGACATGGAGAAAGTGTGATTATGTTTCATGGAATTTTCTAGTTTACATGATGGAGAGGTTGGGTTTCAAAGTGAAGTGAAGATCCTGGATGAAGACCTGCATTACCACATCTGCTTTTGCAGTTTTGGTCAATGGCCATTTGTCGTTTTCTTTAAGGCTTCTAGGGGCCCTAGATAGGGAGATCCTTTGCCCATTTTGCTCTTCATTATTGTCATAGAAGGCATTAAACAAGCTATTGCTCAAGGCGAGAGAACTTCATCTTTTCACAGGAGTGAAGGTGGGTAAGCAACCGAAGAGGTGAAGGTAACTCATCTATTCTTTGTGGATTATATTCTTTTGTTCCGGGATTTGAGCCCGGGAATATTTTCAATATTAAACGTGTTTTGTTGTGTTTCCAAGCCGTCTCAAGTTTAAATATCAACATGGCTAAGATAGAATTAGTCCAGTTGGGCGAAAAAGCCGGGTATTTGGCCAATATTATGGGTTGTAAGAATGTCGATATGAAAATCAAGTACTTGGGCCTCTGCTTGGTGCCAAACTCAAAGATACATAGTGGAACCAAGTGATGGGTATATTCAAAAATCGTCAGGCAGGGTGGAAGAGAGGCTTACTTTTAAAAGGTGGAAGCCTTACTGATATGTTTCGAAGAAGATTAAAAGGCACAACAGAGAAAATCTTGAATTTTTTGTTATACAAGAACCTAGCATATGTGAGACTTTATGGAGGATTTTGGTGATTTGATAGAGATGATGATTAACTTGTAAATACTTTTGTACATGGGTTGCACCCTCTTGGTGCTCATAGCAGTAAGTTTATTAGGACTTTGTGCTTATAGGCTTATTCTTGGTGTGAGTTTATTATTTCATATTCAATTAGGATTTTTGGTTGCTATCTGGTATAAGCTATCCAATTAATTAGCTTATTTTTTTTTCAGTAAATTTCCTAGTTAGGTTTAAAAATTCCTTCCTCGGTTGTATTTTGATGCTTAACTCTAGTTTAGTTGTTTGTAGATGATTCTAGTTTAGTTATTTGGTAGACAAGTCATTTACTTATCATATAAAATTGAGTTATTAATTTGATTATTGAGATGTAAGATTTCAAATTTTGGTTCTTGATAAATTTTCTCTTACTATTATGCTCAAATATTCTTCATCCTTCATCAAATGGGATATAATAGAAACTAAATGGAGATTGAACGGAACGGACCATTAGTGATTATCAGCAATCCTAGATTCTTCTCGATAGTATGCATCAAAAGACTGATTTACATACATGAAAAGTGGTTCTATGTTAATTTTAGACATAGTAGTGCTGGGGTTCGAGATATTAGTATCTACATATTATTTATCCTGTCTGACATGCAGGTGCCCAAGGAATGGAAGTTGGATCCTGATTGGGATGCTGAACCTAAACAGCCACAGCAGATGAGCCATCTAAGAAAATTCCCAAGCAAGTGGAGTGCAGCTGCTGCTCAGCAGGACCCAGTTAACACTGTTAAAATTGTTGATCGCTTTGTGATTTCACGTACAGATAAGCCTGATTCTGGAGTTGGTAATGGGTCAGTTACTTGCTGATCCGGGATGCTCACGATTTTAACTTCATTTTAGTCCTCACCATTTTTTTTTTACTGGGAAGAAATGAACAAACAAATCAAGGGAGGAAATTTACTTCTCTTTCTGGCTTCGTGCAACTAGGCTTTGATCTGTTCCAATTTGTACATATAACTAGATGACATATATTTCTTTTGAAGATTCATTTTACAGTATAAAGTAGGTAAGTATCAAATTGGCATGCATCATTGGAGCTATAGTATGTAGTAAAATCATTTGTAAGCATTTTGAGAGACTAGCATTCTAATACATACAATATTCTGTAAGCATGTTTATGCATTAGGAATTTGATGCATATATGAAAGATAATTACTATTCTCCAAATGTGTGGATGAAATATTGCTGCTTTAATACATATAGAGAATTGTTGTTTTAATACATATAGAGAACTCAAAAAGTATATATGTTTTGATTGTATTAAATGATTGATTAAATTGATTATTAAAAAAAATTGTAGATAAGTAACATAGTTAATTATTTATATTTTAACATAAATTATTAAAATTTATTGTAAAACTATGTTTTATCAAGTCCTTTAAGAACCAAATTGAGCTTGGGTTTGGACCAAGCTGGGCCTAGATTAGGCTTGGCCTTGGGCTAGGTGAGGCCCAAGACAACCTGTTTTGGACCAAGCTACAACTGTAACCAAGACTTTTTGAGTACTGATGCAGAGTTGTTCTATCAAATTCAAGATCAGTACAAAATGAGGTGTAACCAAATATTTAAATTTTTTTTGCCTATTCTATATAGGGTTGTATAATTTTATTGCCAGAAAATAATGTTACATCTGTACTTTATAATAAAAAGTAAAAAATTCTTATTGTAATTTCATATGGGGTTGTTATGTGGTATAATCCATATTGGTTTATTTAAACTTAGATGGTTAGGATTGTTGAGTAATGTTATGAACTAGACATTGATTGATTTTTTATGTATTGAAGTTATTAACTACTAGTAAGTTTGTGGAGGTAAGTTCTTGTTTGATTTTAGCTATAAGATAGTGGTAAATTATCGTTTTAAGGTAAGCTAGAGGAGAAAAAAAATATTGCATATGTAAGTGACTTTCTTTTGGATCTAATTCTGAAAGATAATACATATTTTGAATACAATAACAGTTAAAAATAAATTGTAATTGAAAAAAAATTTGACAAATAAAAGTATCAAGTAAAAATAGTTTATAAGATGACATCACTAATAGAACATGAAAAAGAGTTTGTAACATCGGAGTTAGGCAGCAGTTTAATATACCTCGCAATAAATATACTCATTTGCTGCATTAAGTGTGTGTATTGGACCCTAATAGTTTATGTAATGTGGCCTCCGAAAGTATTGCACAATGCTGCATTTGCAATGAAAAAATAAATTTTTTTGGCACTCGAACTAAATCTACTGCAATATTATATCCATGAATTTTTCAACTACCTAATTTAATAAAAAAATACAAAATGTAGATGGAGAGCCAAGCTTTCTTACTTCATTAAAAAACTATTACGGTGTAAGTGACAAAGAAATTTTAAATTAAAGATTTATCACGTGTTAACTTTACTTATATTTAGATTGGAGGATTATTTTATTTTAAGAGTTTAATTTTTAAAAATCTATAAAGTACTAGTGATAGGCAAGAAAGTCTTTGTTTTATTTTAGCTCTAATACATTGGTCGGTTAGTATTGCTCTAAGATATTCGATGTAATTGGTGTTTTAAGATGACTTGAATCATTTTGTAGGTTTTTGGAGGTAGATGACTTTCTTTTATATGGTTTAATGTTTTGCTCATAGTGTGTTGTTAGAAAGATGGTGGTTGTTGGTTATTATGTGGTATCATCCATAGTGAATGTTTGAAGGATGTCCATTGGAATATTATTTTTCAGTTATGAAAAGTGAACTTAGGGATTAGTGCTTAAGAAAAAGAAATGTTTGGTAAATTTACAACATTAGCTATATGTCAAAAATACTGTTGGAAGAGTTGCAAGTGATAACTATTAGAGAACTCTGATTTAAATTTATAGTATATTTATTTGATATTTGAATCCAATGAATGTTTGTCTTATGAATTGAGATGATCTAGGATTTTGACTACTAATTGCTTAGAAATGAGTAAACAAAAGTGAATGATAAAATGACAATAAATCCTAAATATCAGCTTATAGAATGAACATATCATTTTTACATTCGTATGAATTGAAATGATTATAAATCGACAAAATTAGTATTATTAGCTTAGTGAATTTCTTTTATATGTACATTAACGTAGTAGTACTCAAAAGACGATTTTAAATATTATACTGAGAATAATAAAATTGTCATCTTTTGATGTTTGTTCTTTATTTTAGTCGTTTTTTTTAATTTTGAAGTTTCAATATCCGTTTTTTCATGCCAAACTATGCATATGTTACTTTTAATTATTTGGTTCTCTTCTTATTTAAATTATAATGTAGAAAAATCTTATTTATTTATAAAAAGATATGTTTATTGTTCTCTTTTAATGCTTGTTACTCATGGTTCTAGTTGATTTTTTTTTATATTTCAATTTTGGTACGCGTAGTTCCCATGAAAAATTATCTATATGTTCTATTTATTTGTTAATGATTTTTTACTTATTTGAATTATAATATTAACGAATCTTTGTTATTTACAAATTGATTTACTCACTTTTATTTGCTTATTGTTGATTTCAAACTCCAAAGATGAGGTAAATAATCATGTACCCAATATTTTGTTTTTGCTTAGCTAGTTAAAACAATTAGCTCTTGTTATTATGTGACTCTTTAGACAAAAAATTTAAAATAGTCCGGTTGTTTGTTTTGCATTTTTTTTTATTTCATTGATATCATTGTTTTGTTACTTGAGTGGTCTGGACTCCTCTGCATTTTTATCTTTTTTTTTGTCCTATTTTTAATTAGCATGCAGTGGTTGGTGTCCATATTTATCATATATGAAATATATTACTTTTCTCTAAACGTGTGGTTGAGATAGTGTTGCTTTAATGCATATAGAGAACTAAAAAAGTATATATGTTTTGATTGTATTAAATAATTGATTAAATTAATTATTTAAAAAATTGTAAAAAAATATCATAGTTAATTATTTATATTCTAACATAAATTATTAAAATTTATTACAAAATTATATTTATCCGCTTTAAATTTATTTATTTTTATTTTCTTTCAGTAATAATTAATAAAAAAAAATCATCTACAAGGGAGTCTTTTTCATTTTTCTGTCAAATTTTTTTAATTTTTTCTATTTCCCAGTAAAATTCACTCACATTTTTTTAGAATTAATTACTAAGTGTTTATCACACATTCTTCACATTCTTATTTATGCTATTTTACTTTAATTTTTTTTTTTTAATTTATTATCTCTTTCTTAATAACTACAGTTTTCTATTATAAAGATATTTTAATTTTTTATAAAATATAACCAAAATTTAAAACAACACCCTAAGCCTGGGCTCCGTGTAGTTTAACTTTTTTAACGCAGTAGTTGCTTTTTTCTTTTTCTTTTCTTTAAAAAGTTTTTTAAAAAACAAATTGACCGTTGTGTTATGCTTGTCGGCGTCCTTTTAACGCAGTCTGAATTTCTTTATCTCCCCTTTAAAAGCAAACTGACCGTGCGATTAGATTAAAACCCCACAAAAGTTTTCCAATTCTCCTCTTCAGACCACCTTCTTCCTTTCTTTCGTCTTTCTTTTACTTTCAAAAAGTTTTCAACGTTCTTTGTTTTCAGATCTGGCCTTGCCCAGAGAGAAGGAGAGAGATACAAGCACAAAAGAGAGAGAGAAAAAGGGGAAAAAGACAGAAACGAGGTCTGAAACCCCTCCATTCTCTTCAATGTGGAGAGGGAAAGAAAAGAATATCAGAAAGAGGTAAGGAAGAAGATGGTAGAAAACAAATTAGAATGGTAATCTTTCTAGCATTCTATTTCTTTTTCAGTTTCTTGAGAGCAAAGAATCAAATAGAGAAAGAAAAGAAGAACAAAGAAAGAAGGAAAAAAAAAGAAGATCGAAAAGAAGATAGATAGGTTTCTCTTAAAGACCCAACACTGCCTAGTCATTCTGTTAAATTTCAATCTCTCTTGTTCTCACAAGCCTTGCCCAGAGAGAAGTTGAGAAGTACGAGCATAGCAGAGAGAGAATAAGGGGAAAAAAAAGAAGATCGAAAAGAAGATATATGGGTTTCTCTTAAAGACCCAACACTACTTAGTCATTCTGTTAAATTTCAATCTCTCTTGTTCACAAGCCTTGCCCAGAGAGAAGGTGAGAAGTACGAGCATAGCAGAGAGAGAAAAAGGGGAAAAAGACAGAAACGAGCAGACATGGATCTGCAATAGTTGCTTTTTTCTTTCTTTTTCTTTTCTTTAAAAAGTTTTTTAAAAAACAAATTGACCGTTGTGTTATGCTTGTCGGCGTGCGCAGTCTGAATTTCTTTATTTTCCCTTTAAAAGCAAACTGACCGTGCGATTAGATTAAAACCCCACAAAAGTTTTCCAATTCTCCTCTTCAGACCACCTTCTGCCTCTCTTTTACTTCCAAAAAGTTTTCGACGTTCTTTGTTTCCAGATCTGGCCTTGCCCAGAGAGAAGGAGAGAGATACAAGCACAAAAGAGAGAGAAAAAGGGGAAAAAGACAGAAACGACCAGACATGGATCTGAAACCCCTCCATTCTCTTCAATGTGGAGAGGGAAAGAAAAGAATATCAGAAAGAGGTAAGGAAGAAGATGATAGAAAACAAATTAGAATGGTCATCTTTCTAGCATTCTATTTCTTTTTCAGTTTCTTGAGAGCAAAGAATCAAATAGAGAAAGAAAAGAAGAACAAAGAAAGAAGGAAAAAAGAAGATCGAAAGGAAGATAGATAGGTTTCTCTTAAAGACCCAACACTGCCTAGTCATTCTGTTAAATTTCAATCTATCTTGTTCACAAGCCTTGCCCAGAGAGAAGGTGAGAAATACAAACATAATTGAGAGAGAAAAAGGGGAAAAAGACAGAAACGAGCAGACATGGATCTGAAACTCTCCGTTCTCTTCAAGGGAGATCGAAAAGAAGATCGATGGGTTTCTCTTCAAGACCCAACACTACTTATTCATTCTGTTAAATTTCGATCTCTCTTGTTCACAAGCCTTGCCCAGAGAGAAGGTGAGAAGTACGAGCATAGCAGAGAGAGAAAAAGGGGAAAAAGACAGGAACGAGCAGACATGGATCTGAAACTCTCCATTCTCTTCAATGTGGAGAGGGAAAGAAAAGAATATCTGAAAGAGGTAAGGAAGAAGATGATAGAAAACAAATTGAACTGTCCTCTTTCTAACATTCTATTTCTTTTTCAGTTTACTGGGAGTAAAGAGCCAAATAGAGAAGGAAAAGAAGAGCAAAGAAAGAGGGAAGAAGAAGATCGAAAGAAGAGATATGTCTTTCTCTTCAAAGACCCAACGGTAGCCGGAGGTATTTTTACTTATCTCTTAATATTGGTAGGTGATCATTCATGGAGTTTATTTTTATTTGGTTCTCCTTTCATGAAGTTGGCATAAGTGATTTAGTCTCTCTTAATCTGGGTTTACATAAATCTTTTTTTTTTTAAATTTCTTTTTACAGTTTGTCTTCTTATTTATTTATTCTTCTTATTTAATGTTTTTAGTTTTCATAAATTTGTTTTGTTATGTGTAGCATCTGTTCTTAACTAACTAACTAATTGTTTCTTAGCATAAGTTATTTTCAACTATATCTGTAATGAGGAATAATGAATTGGTTCTCTGTCTCTCTCTGTGTTCTCTTCTCTCTTTTGTTCTCTCTTTGTCTGTTTCTCACTCTCTCTGCACTTCTCTCTTTGTTTGCTACATTCCAAACCCTAAAAGCCCTCTTCCTAAATTTCACACATAACATATTTCTAAATTAATTCGAGTTCTTTCTTGTTATAAACATTGCAGCAGGTTTCTTAACTGGGGAGATGTTGTTTTTCTTATTCCTTTTTACCATGATTTATAGACTTGAAATTTACTCAAAAGATAGCAGCAGTTTCTTGTTTTTTCATTTAAATATTCCAATTTAGCTTTAATAATTTTACAGACAAACAAACTATCTTCTGGAATTTGATTTAGTAGGTTCTGTTTTTTATGGAGTTTGCAAAGTTGATATTTTGGTCTCTGTTTCTAAGTACATTTGACACGTTCCTTTGAGACCCAGGTAGGTTGGGAATAGAATATTAATGCTGTGGATATTCCATAGTTATATGCTAATGTATGAATCAAATATGAACATATTACCCTTTTCCGATTGAGGGAACTTTCGAAAAGAAGAATTGCTTGATTGATTACCCTCCCAAAGTATTCAGAGTATTCGGGTTTTCTTGAAAACTAACAGCGTAAAAATGTTACAGCAATAATAAATATATTAAAAATAAAAGCAAGAATAACGATTGGATTTGGAGCTCTATTGCATAGATGGTAATCTAGTCTTTTTTAATTTTCTAACTTATCATTTCTTTCACAATCTAAAACTTCTTAAAAAACTATTTTATCTTGTGAACTTTCCTTTAAATATTTTCATAATTAGAAATATTTTCTAAAGTGTCGCATATTTTTCATTTATGCTTTCAATTGTTGCAATATTTGTTTTTTCAGTATGATGAGATGTTCCCTTCACTATTCAGTGATCTTCCTAATATATTTCCTCCACACCTGTCGACATGGGCTAGTGAACTTTGGCACTGAAATAGCATGAAAGGTATGTCCGCAGACGGGAAGCTGAGAACTTGCTCAATTCCAGTTGGTGGCTTTCTTTTGAATCTAATTCTAAAAGATAATACATAGTTTGAATACAATAACAGTTAAAAGTAATTTGTAATTGAAAGAAAAGTTTGGTAAATAAAAGTATCAAGTAAAGATAGTTTATAAGATAACATCACTAGTAGAACATGAAGAAGAGTTTGGAGCATCGGAGTTAGGCAGTAGGTTAATACACCTCGAAATAAATATACTTATTTGCTGCATTAAGTGTGTGTATTGGATCCTAATAGTTTATGTAATGTGGCTTGTGAACGTATTGCAAAAATGCTGCACTTGCACTGAAAAAACAATTTTTTTTGGCACCCAAAATAAATCTACTGCAAGATTATATCAATGAATTTTTCAACTACATAATTTAATAAAAAAAATGCGAAATGTAGATGGAGAGCTAAGTTTCCTTACTTCATTAAAAAATTAATAGTTTTTAAAATACATAAAATTCTGCGACTGAAAAATTCTAACTTAAAGATTTATCACATGTTAGCTTTACTTTAGATTTAGATTGGATGATTATTTTATTTTAAGAGTTTAATTTTTACAAACTTATAATTTAGAGTTATCGTTCATTTTCTTATTTTGAAGATCTTAGAAACCTAATAGCTTTTAAACCAAAACAAAAATTTCATTTAGCTCTTCAACTTTTTTAGCAAACAAGCATTTCAAACACAATAACGACAAACTACAACAAATAAATTACAACTATCCTTACAAACTGACAAGGAAAAAGAGTAAACTTCAAGTATCAACCCAAAAATTGAATATTTCGTTTTTAACATTTTCATGAGTTGAAATGATTATAAATTAAAACAATCTAGTATTTTTCGTCAATGAATTTCTTTGTGTGTACATTAATGTAGCAATACTTGAGGCTGTTTTTAATGTCATGCAGAGGACAACAAAATTGTCCTCTTTTAATGGTCGTTTTTAATGTCCATGTCAAGTTGTGCATATGTTATATTTAATTGCTATTGATTCTCTTCTGATTTGAATTACAACATAAAAGAGTCTTGATCATTTATAAATTGATATGCTTACTTTTGTGTAGTTGTTCTAGATTTCAAATGGTAAAAATCAGGTAAATAAACATATATTCAATAGTATGTTTTTTCTTTAACTAGTTAAAATTTTATTTCTTTGTTATTATGAAGATCTTGAGGTAAAAAGTTGAAAGGAATCTAATCATATATTATCTCTGTTTTGTTCTCTTTTCTGGGTAACATTGCTGGAAAAATGTCGGGTTATGATATATTTGTGAAATAAAAGGTTTATTTTTTAATGCTTATGACATGAATTTTATTTTTTATTACATATATTTTTTAGTATTTAGAATTATTTACTTAACGATATTCTTTTTGGTTACTTTAATATAGGACTACCGAAGGTTATTATCAATCTTAGGAATACTTTTAACGTAAATAATCATGTGTTTTTATCTTTTTGGGTAGCTAATATTTTTATATTTTGTTAGTGCGTAACTCTTTGTCAAAACGTTTAAGATGGTCCAGGCGTGTCACTTGTGTTTTGTTTTCTTTTGTTCGTAGCGCTCTTTTAGATATAGATTATGAGGAACCAGCGGAATAAGAGGTTTGTCTTTCTTCTTTTATCCTGTTTTTCAGTTTTGTTTTGTTTTTTTTCATCCTAATTTTTTCTTTAATATTTTTTAATAGAGTTGGAGAGAGTTACAACATTATTTATTTCTGCATCATTTATCACATTAAGTTTTAAAAAGTTTTTAGATGGAGCTTCATAAGGAGATCTTCTCCATGATCATTTTAGTTAAAAAGATCTGTGGTTTGATTTGATGGTAGATAATGGTACTGGCGGAAATTCGTCTTCTTCAGTTGTAGGAGTACTTGGTCATCAGTTTCTTTTGTTTCTTCATTGTTTCTAATAATGTTGCATTTACTGAATTGGTAATTAGGATTTTGGAGCTAGACCATACAATGGTTTGGTACTATGAGCTGCTGTGTTTTAGGAGGTATCTCTTTCTTCTTGCCTTTCCCATTATATTTCTTAGATTTTGGTATGTTTGTCTTGTTTCTCGCGTCGCTGGCAAGATAACGGAGGTCATGAGCATTCTTTAAAATTGTGCTGTAAGTGATGAAATTCAAATTTCATTTTAATGATTTTGCATATTTATTGATTGTAGCAAACCTGCGAATACTGGCTCTCTTACGCTGGCAGGCTCTCAGTATAGCCTACGGCGTGCTTTACGGTATGTGAGCAACAAAAGAGGGAGAGTGTGTACGAAGAAGAGAACCAGGAAGGCAGAGGAAGAGAGTTCGTATGAAAGTTTACCTCATGATTTTATTATCTGATTAATCAATTATTTTTATTTTTTACTAACTAATCAAACAATAATTTTTAAATTATGCTACCATAACTTAGTTGAAGGATGGATTTGAACACTAAAAACCTACATGACGCTAGATCGATATGAACAATGCAAAACAAATAAATTGTAATAAGAAACTGAAATTGGAATAAAAATACAAACAAATTCAAATAAATTAATAAATTCAAGTATATTTAAAGAAAAATCCAATTGATTTTTTTGCAATTCCACAAAAATGAAACAAACAACTAAGTTTGAGTGAAATTGTACAACAAACTAAAACAAGTAGACGCTGAAATTCTAATACAATTACAAATAAACTCAAATATAATCATAAACTCAAGTAAACTAAAACAAAAATTACATAGTAATACTTGAGGTTGTTTTTAATGTTATGCAAAAGACAACAAAATTGTCCTCTTTTAATATTTTTTCTTTTTTATTTTAGTCGTTTTTTTTAATTTAAAGTTTTGAAATCTGTCCATGCCTGCATTTGTTACAATTAATTGCTATTGGTTTTCTTCTAATTTTAAAAGAGTCTTGATCATTTATAAATTGATATACTCACTTTTGTGTAATTGTTGTAGATTTCAAACGCCCAAAATCAGATAAATAAACACGTATTCAATATTATATTTTTTTCTATAGCTAGTTAAAATTTTCTTTCTTTGTTATTATAAAGATCTTTATGCAAAAAGTTTAAGAGAGTCCAATCATATATTATCTCTTTTTTGTTCTCTTTTGTGGGTAATACTACTGGAAACATGTTGGATTATAAGATATTCGTGGAACAAAAGGTTTATTTTGCTTTACTTACGATATAAATTTTATTTTCTATTATATATATATAAATATTTTTTCTATTTAGAATTATTTATTTAGCAGTATTCTTTATGTTTACTTTAATGTAGGACTACCGAAAGTTATTATTAATCTTATGGAGCACTTATAAGGTAAATAAACATATGTGTTTATCCTTTTGGGTAATCAAAATTTTTATATTTTGTTAGTATGTAATTCTTTAGGCAAAAAGTTTAAGATGGTCCAGCAGTGTCACCTGTGTTTTATTTTCTTTTGTTTGTAGATTATGAAGTATATGTGGAATAAGAGATTTGTCTTTCTTCTTTTATCATATTTTTCAGTTTAGTTTTGTTTTTTTTTAGCCTAATTTATTTTTTAAAATTTTTTGATGGAGTTGGAGAGGGTTACAACGCTATCTATTTGTGCATTATCTATCACATTAAGTTTTAAAAAGGTTTCATTTGGAGCTAAAAGGAGATCTACTCTATGATCAGTTTAGTGGAAAAGAAGATATGTGGTTCGATTTGATGGCAGATACTGGTGATGGCAGGAACTCGTTTTCTTCAGTTGCAGGAATACTTGGTCAGCGGTTTTTTTTGCTTCTTTTATCTTTCTAATAAGGTTGCATTTACTAAATTGGTAATCAGTATATTGGAGCTGGTCTATTATATAGTGGTTTGGTACTATGAGTCGCTAGGTTTTTTGAGGTATCTCTTTCTTCTTGTCTTTCACATTATATTTCCTGCATTTTGGTATGTTTGTCTTGTTTCTCGCATCGCTGGCAAAAGGAAGGAGGTCTTGATTCTTTAAAATTGTGCTGTAAGTGATGAAAATTAAATATTTATTTTAATGATTATGCATAATTACTTGTTGTAGCAAACGTGCGAATAGTGGCTGTCTTGATCATTTATAAATTGATATGCTTACTTTTGTGTAATTGTTGTAGATTTCAAACGGCAAAAATCAGATGAATAAACACGTATTCAATATTATGTTGTTTCTATAACTAGTTAAAATTTTCTTTCTTTGTTACTATGAAGATCTTTAGGCAAAAAGTTAAAGAGAGTCCAATCTTTTTTTTTTTGTTCTCTTTTGTGGGTAACACTGCTGGAAATATGTTGGGTTATAAGATATTCGTGGAATAAAAGGTTTATTTTACTTTACTTACGATACAAATTTTATTTTGTATTTATATACATATATTTTTATATTTAGAATTATTTATTTAACAATATTCTTTATGTTTACTTTAATGTAGGACTACCGAATGTTATTATCAATCTTATGGAGCACTTTTAAGGTAAATAAGCATGTGTTTTTATCTTTTAGGGTAGTCAAAATTTTTATATTTTGTTAGTATGTAACTCTTTAGGCAAAAAGTTTAAGATGGTCCGGACGTGTCACTTGTATTTTATTCTTTTTTGTTGGTAGCACTCTTTTAGACGTGGATTATGAGGTATCTGTGGAATAAGAGGTTTGCCTTCCTTATTTTATTATATTTTTCAGTATAGTTTTACTTTTTTTAAGCCTAATTTATTTTTTAAAATTCAATTGATGGAGTTTGGGATAGTTACAATGCTATCTATTTCTGCATCATCCATCACGTATTCAATATTATGTTTTTACTTTAGATTTAGATTGGAGGATTATTTTATTTTAAGAGTTTAATTTTTAGAAATCTATAATTTAGAATTATCGTTCATTTTCTTATTTTGAAGATTTTAGTGATAAAGTCATGGATTAAATAGTTCAAGGTGTTGCGAGTTGATATAGTAGATAGAGGATGATTCTAATTATTGAAGGATGTCCATTAGAATATTGTTTTCTAGTTATGAAAAGTGAACTTAGGGATTGGTGCTTAAGAAAAAGAAATGTCTGGTAAATTTACAACATTAGCTGTATGTCAAAAATACTGTTGGAAGAGTTGCAAGTGATGACTATTGGATAACTTTGACTTAAATTAATAATATATCTATTTGATATTTGAATCCAATGATTGTTTGTTTTAAGAATTGAGGTGATCTAGGATTTTGACTACTAATTGCCTAAAAATGAGTAAACAAAAGTGAAGGATAAAAAAACAATAAATCCCAAATATCAGTCTATAGAACGAACATGTCATTTTTTTTACATTTGTATGAGTTGAAATGATTATAAATTGATAAAATTAGCATTATTTGCTTAGTGAATTTCTTTTATGTGTACATTAACATAGCAGTACTTAAAAGGAGGCAATTTTAAATATTATGCTGAGAGTAATAAAATTGTCCTCTTTTGATGTTTGTTCTTTGTTTTAGTCTTTTTTTAATTTGAAGTTTTGATATCTGTTTTTTCATGCCAAACTATGCATATGTTACATTTAATTGCTTAGTTCTCTTCTCATTTAAATTACAATGTAGAAAAATCTTATTTGTTCATAAAAAAATAAGTTTATTGTTCTCTTTTAATGCTTGTTACTCCCGGTTCTAGTTGATTTTTTTTTATATTTCAATTTTGGTACGCGTAGCTCCCATGGGAAATTATCCATATGTTCTATTTATTTGCTAATGATTTTTTACTTCTTTGAATTATAATATCGACGAATCTTTGTTATTTACAAATTGATTTGCTCACTTTTATTTGCTTATTGTTGATTTCGAACTCCAAAGATGAGGTAAATAATCGTGTACCCAATATTTTGTTTTTGCTCAGCTAATTAAAATAAATTGCTCATGTTATTATGTGACTCTTTAGGCAAAAAATTTAAAATAGTCTAGTTGTTTGTTTTGCATTTTTTATTCTTTTATAGATAACATTGTTTTGTTACTTGAATGGTCTGTGCTCCTCTGCATTTTTATCTTTTTTTTTGTTCTCTTTTTAATTGACATGTAGTGGTTGGTGTCCGTATTTATCATACACGAAAGATATTATTTTTTTCCAAATGTGTGGTTGAGATACTGTTGCTTTAATTAATGCATATAGAGAACCCAAAAAGTATGATATTTTTTTATAATTTTTTAAATAATTAATTAATATTCTATATAGTTTTGTTGAATAGTTGTTAAATAAAATATAATACAACATTAGCTTATAACTATTACATAAAATATTTATTTCATAATTAAATGCCAACTGTTTACAAAAGTTGAATAATAAATACCCAAAATTTAATAATTTTTTAAAGTAATATGGAGGAACTCACCAACTTTCATTGAATATACATAAATTTTCATACTTTCTAAAACTAAATAAAAACATTTTACTTTATGAATTATTTCATAATCTACATTTGAAGCATAATTATATGTATAGTTAATCAATTATATAATACAATCAAAATATATATAGTTAATTATTTATATTCTAACATAAATTATTAAAATTTATTGTAAAATTATATTTATCTGCTTTAAATTTATTTATTTTTATTTTCTTTCAATAATAATTAATAAAAAAATCATCTACAAGGGAGTCTTTTTCATTTTTCTGTCAAATAATCATGTACATTTTTTTAGAATTAATTAATAAGTGTTTATCATACATTCTTATTTATGATATTTTACTTAAAAAAAAACTTTTAATTTATTATCTCTCTCTTAATAATTACAGTTTTTTATCATAAAAATGTTTTAATTTTTTATAAAATATAACAAAAATTTAAAACAACACCCTAAGCCTGGACTCCGTGTAGTTTAACTTTTTTAACGCTGCTTATTTCTTTCTTTTTCTTTTCTTTAAAAAGTTTTTTAAAAAACAAATTGACCGTTGTCGGCGTCATTTTAACGCAGTCTGCATTTCTTTATTTTCCCTTTAAAAGCAAACTGACCGTGCGATTCTCCTCTTCAGACCACCTTCTTCCTTTCTTTTACTTTCAAAAAGTTTTCTACGTTCTTTGTTTTCAGATCTGGCCTTGCCCAGAGAAAAGAAGAGAGATACAAGCACAAAAGAGAGAGAGAAAAACAGGAAAAAGACAGAAACGACCAGACATGGATCTGAAACCCCCCCCATTCTCTTCAATGTGGAGAGGGAAAGAAAAGAATATCAGAAAGAGGTAAGGAAGAAGATGATAGAAAACAAATTAGAATGGTCATCGTTCTACCATTCTTTTTCTTCTTCAGTTTCTTGAGAGCAAAGAACCAAATAGAGAAAGAAAAGAAGAACAAAGAAAGAAGGAAGAAGAAGATCGAAAAGAAGATAGATGGGTTTCTCTTAAAGACCCAACACTACTTGGTCATTCTGTTAAATTTCAATCTCTCTTGTTCACAAGCCTTGCCCAGAGAGAAGTTGAGAAGTACGAGCATAGCAGAGAGAGAAAAAGGGGAAAAAGACAGAAACGAGCAGACATGGATCTGAAACCCCTCCATTCTCTTCAATGTGGAGAGGGAAATAAAAGAATATCAGAAAGAGGTAAGGAAGAAGATGATAGAAAAAAAATTAGAATGGTCATCTTTCTACCATTCTATTTCTTTTTCAGTTTCTTGAGAGCAAAGAATCAAACAGAGAAAGAAAAGAAGAACAAAGAAAGAAGGAAAAAAGAAGATCGAAAAGAAGATAGATAGGTTTCTCTTAAAGACCCAACAGTATTGAAAGATTCAATCTCTTTCCCACAAGCCATGGGCAGAGAGGAGAGAAATACAAGCATAACAGAGGGAGAGAACGGGGAAAAAGATAGGAAAGAACAGACATGGGTCTGAAACTCTTCGTTCTCTTCAATGTCGGGAGGGAAAGAAGCGAATATCGGAAAGAGATGAGGAAGAAGAAGATAGAAAACAAGATTAAAATGGTTCCTCCTATCATTCTTTTTCTTCTTCAGTTTCTTGAGAGCGAAGAATCAAATAGAGAAAGAAAAGAAGAACAAAGAAAGAAGGAAGAAGAAGATCGAAAAGAAGATAGATGGGTTTCTCTTAAAGACCCAACACTACTTAGTCATTCTGTTAAATTTCAATCTCTCTTGTTCACAAGCCTTGCCCAGAGAGAAGGTGAGAAGTACGAGCATAACGGAGAGAGAAAAAGGGGAAAAAATCAGGAACGAGCAGACATGGATCTGAGACTCTCCATTCTCTTCAATGTGGAGACGGAAAGAAAAGAATATCAGAAAGAGGTAAGGAAGAAGATGATAGAAAACAAATTAAACTGTCCTCTTTCTTCCATTCTATTTCTTTTTCAGTTTATTGGGAGTAAAGAGCCGAATAGAGAAAGAAAAGAAGAGCAAAGAAAGAGGGAAGAAGAAGATCGAAAGAAGAGATATGTCTTTCTCTTCAAAGACCCAACGGTAGCCGGAGGTATTTTTACTTATCTCTTAATATTGGTAGGTGATCATTCATGGAGTTTATTTTTATTTGGTTCTCCTTTCATGAAGTTGGCATAAGTGATTTAGTCTCTCTTAATCTGGGTTTACATAAATCTTTTTTTTTTTAAATTTCTTTTTACAGTTTCTGTCTTCTTATTTATTTATTCTTCTTATTTAATGTTTTTAGTTTTCATAAATTTGTTTTGTTATGTGTAGCATCTGTTCTTAACTAACTAACTAATTGTTTCTTAGCATCAGTTATTTTCAACTATATCTGTAATGAGGAATAATGAATTGGTTCTCTGTCTCTCTCTGTGTTCTCTTCTCTCTTTTCTTCTCTCTTTGTCTGTTTCTCACTCTCTCTGCACTTCTCTCTTTGTTTGCTACATTCCAAACCCTAAAAGCCCTCTTCCTAAATTTCACACATAACATATTTCTAAATTAATTCGAGTTCTTTCTTGTTATAAACATCGCAGCAGGTTTCTTAACTGGGGAGATGTTGTTTTTCTTATTCCTTTCTACCATGATTTACAGACTTGAATTTTACTCAAAGATAGCAGCAGTTTCTTGTTTTTTCATTTAAATATTCCAGATTAGCTTTAATAATTTTACAGACAAACAAACTCTCTTCTGGAATTTGATTTAGTAGGTTCTGTTTTTTATGGAGTTTGCAAAGTTGATCTTTTGGTCTCTGTTTCTAAATACATTTGACATGTTCCTTTGAGCCCCAGGTGGGTTGGGAATAGAATATTAATGCTGTGGATATTCCATAGTTATATGCTAATGTATGAATCAAATATGAACATATTACCCTTTTCCGATTGAGGGAACTTTCAAAAAGAAGAATTGCTTGATTGATTACCCTCCCAAAGTATTCAGAGTATTCGGGTTTTTTTGAAAACTAACAGCGTAAAAATGTTACAGTAATAATAAATATACTAAAAATAAAAGCAAGAAAAACAATTGGATTTGGAGCTCTGTTGCATAGATGGTAATCTAGTCTTTTTTAATCTTCTAACTTATCATTTATTTCACAATCTAAAACTTCTTAAGAAACTATTTTATCTTGTGAACTTTCCTTTAAATATTTTCATAATTAGAAATATTTTCTAAAGTGTCGTATACTTCTCATTTATGCTTTCAATTGTTGCAACATTTGCATTTTCAGTATGATGAGATGTTCCCTTCACTATTCAGTGATCATCCTAATATATTTCTTCCACACCTGTCGATATGGGCTAGTGAATTTTGGCACTGAAATAGCATGAAAGGTCCGCAGACGGGAAGCTGAGAACTTGCTCAATTCCAATTGGTGGCTTCCTGAAACACTCAGTATCTCTTCTCTCTCTCTCTCTCTCTAATCATTCTTAAACTTAATCTTCAATCTTAGAATGCGATTGAATGATTTCGTCAGTTGCTTGAAAGTAACTTGTTTACTATTTGCAAAATAATATGCACTCGTTATAACTTTGACTTTAACTCATAAATAATGGTTGATCAATATTATTTTTAAGAAATGCAATGCAATTGGTATTTTTAGGGTAACTTGAATAAGCTAATAATTTTCTTAAGATAATTTACTTTTCTCTATATGGTCTGCTGGTTTTCCATTTGGATCATGGCTAGTAGATAAAATGACTTGTGGTTGTTGGCAAATATATGATATCATCCTTGGAGATATATTTAAAATTATATAGCTAGAATTGCTATTTTTAAATAAGATTATAAATTAAATGTTGATTAACTTTTATGTACTAAAGCTGATAGGTATCGAGTATTTAGTGATAAGATAGTGATGCATTCAAAACTAGATAGTTAGGATTACTTTTTTCAGATAAGACTAAGAATTGATGTTGATTGACTTTTATGTACTAAAACTGATAGGTATAGAGTACTAGTGATAGGCAAGAAAGTTTTTGTTTGATTTTAGCTCTTACACAATGATCGATTAGTATTGTTATAAGATATTCGATGTAATTGGTGTTTTAAGATGACTTGAATCATTTTAAAGTTTTTTGAAGGTAGATGACTTTCTTTTGTATGGTTTAATATTTTTTTTGTTTTGGTCAAAGCCCGTTGTTGGAAAGATGGTAGTTGTTAGTTGTTATGTGGTATCATTCACAGTGATTTATTTAACCTTAAATGTTTAGGGCTGTTGAGTAATGTTAGGAACTAGACACTGATTGATTTTTTATCTATTGAAGCTAATAGGAATAGAATAGTTAGTAGTAAGTTTGTGGAGATGTTGTTTTTCTTATTCCTTTCTACCATGATTTATAGACTTGAATTTTACTCAAAAATAGCAGCAGTTTCTTGTTTTTTCATTTAAATATTCCATATTAGCTTCAATAATTTTGCAGACAAACTCTCTTCTGGAATTTGATTTAGTAGGTTCTGTTTTTGATGGAGTTTGCAAAGGTGATCTTTTGGTCTCTGTTTCTAAATACATTTAACATGTTCCTTTGAGCCCCAGGTAGGTTGTGGGAATAGAATATTAATGCTGTGGATATTCCACAGTTATATGAATATATTACCCTTTTCCGACTGAGGGAACTTTCGAAAAGAAGAATTGCTTGATTGATTACCCTCCCAATGTATTCAGAGTACTGGGATTTTTTTGAAGACTAACAGTGTAAAAATATTATAGCAATAATAAATATACTAAAAATAAAAGCAAGAAAAACGATTGGATTTGGAGCTCTTTTGCATAGATGGAAATGTAGTCATTTTTAATCTTCTAACTTATCATTTCTTTCACAATTTAAAACTTCTTAAGAAACGATTTTATCTTGTGAACTTTCCTTTAAATATTTTCATAATTGGAAATATTTTCTAAAGTGTCGCATACTTCTCATTTATGCTTTCAATTGTTGCAACATTTGCATTTTCAGTATGATGAGATGTTCCCTTCACTATTCAGTGATCATCCTAATATATTTCCTCCACATCTGTCGACATGAGCTAGTGAACTTTGGCACTGAAATAGCATGAAAGGTATGTCCGCAGACGGGAAGCCGAGAACTTGCTCAATTCCAGTTGGTGGCTTCCTGAAACACTCAGTATCTCTTCTCTCTCTCTCTCTCTTTCATCATTCTTAAACTTAATCTTCAATCGTAGAATGCGATTGAATGATTACGTCAGTTGCTTGAAAGTAACTTGTTTACTATTTGCAAAATAATATGCACTCGTTATAACTTTGACTTTAGCTCGTAGATAATGGTTGATCAATATTATTTTTAAGAAATGCAATGCAATTGGTATTTTTAGGGTAACTTGAAAAAGCTAATAATTTTCTCAAGATAATTTACTTTTCTCTGCTGGTTTTTCCTTTGGATCATGGCTAGTAGACAGAATGAGTTGTGGTTGTTGTCAAATATATGATGATATCATCCTTGGACATATATTTAAAATTAGATAGCTAGAATTGCTATTTTCAAATAAGATTAAGAATTGAATGTTGATTAACTTTTATGTATTAAAACTGATAGGTATCGAGTATTTAGTGACGAGCTAGTGATGCATTCAAGACTAGATAGTTAGGATTGATTTTTTCAAATAAGACTAAGAATTGATGTTGATTGACTTTTATGTACTAAAACTCATAGGTATTGAGTATTAATGATAGCCAAGAAAGTTTTTGTTTGATTTTAGCTCTAACACAATAGTCGGTTAGTATTGTTCTAAGATATTTGATGTAAATGATGTTTTAAGATGATTTGAATTATTCTGTAGTTTTTTTGGAGGTAGATGACTTTTTTTTGTATGGTTTATCGTTTTTTTTGTTTTGGTCATAACCCGTTGTTAGAAAGATGGTGGTTGTTGGTTGTTATGTGGTATCATCCACTGTGGTTTATTTAAACTTAGATGGTTAGGATTGTTGAGTAATGTTAGGAAGTGGACACTGATTAATTTTTTATGTATTGAAGCTAATAGGAATAGAGTAGTTAGTAGTAAGTTTGTGGAGGTAAGTTCTTGTTTGATTTTAGCTCCAAGATAGTGGTAAATTTTCATTTCAAAGGCAAGCTAGAGAAGAAAAAAAAGATTGCATATGTATGTGACTTTCTTTTGGATTTAGTTCTAAAAGATAATACATAGTTTGAATACAATAACAATTTAAAGTAATTTGTAATTGGAAAAAAAGTTTGGTAAATAAAAGTATCAAGTAAAGGTAGTTTATAAGATGACATCACTAATAGAACATGAAGAAGAGTTTGGAGCATCGGAGTTAGGCAGCAGGTTAATATACCTTGCGATAAATATACTCATTTGCTGCATTAAGTGTGTGTATTAGACCCTAATTGTAACGTCCCCGGAAAATATTAAAATGAAATGAGTATTTAAATATATCGAATGCGGAAGCGAGATCAAAATTTAAAGTTAACATCCCTTACATGAAAAACCAAACAAACGTACTTAAAATATAAAAGGTTAAACTAACTAAGAAAGAAAACTCGAAAATAAACTATGCGTATGACTACAGAGTCTCTAGGCATCCCCTTCGTCGTCCTCCTGCGGAACGGGCTCGGGAACCATGTCTTCCTGATCTGAAATGGTTAATTAAGGAGTGAGCTACACTAGCCCAGTAAGAACATCACGATATCTCACCGTCACGGAGATAAAGGTGGGTAGAAAACCACAAAAAGACCAATGGAGCATAATTTACAATAAACTCGTTTATTAACAACAAAACCTTTTATCAATAATAAATCTTTTACCATCCACTTACCTTGGTGGAATTTATGAAAACAATATGAGAAAAACAATAACATTATCATAATCATTGAATAATCTAAGCTGTAAAACATAACACTTATCACGCCTCTTGTAATTCAATCATTGTACAACATATCTTTTTTTCTCATTTACCAGCCTACTAGTATCCGTGGGGGTCCATAGGGGTTCCGCTACCCGTTAACCTTTAACATTCATAATCAGTTTCCAGGGACGTCCCCATACCCCGTCCGGTATGGGCGCCAAAACCATGAACCTCAATACCCCGTCCGGTATGAGGGTGAAACGGGCCGTCCCCATACCCCGTCCGGTATGGGCGCCAAAACCATAAACCTCAATACCCCGTCCGGTATGAGGGTGAAACGGGCCGTCCCCATACCCCGTCCGGTATGGGCGCCAAAACCATAAGATCTCCATACCCCGTCCGGCATGTGAGACCACAATCCCGGTAGGGTTCCCTACGGACCCGGTCCGTCCACCATCTCCCAGGATATCTAGTCAGGCTGACCCCCATAATACAATTATCAGTTTACACAATCTTTCATTTTTCCTTTTCCTCAATCAGCATCATCAATTCACATTTAAACAAGCAAATCGTAATTCATACCAAACAGACAACATACAGTATCAGTTTTTCAGTCATTCAACCCATAATTAATAAAAACGTAGTGCATGCACACAAATCTGTAAAATGAACACATCAAACCTCATTTTGCATTTAAAGCTGTAAACAGGCCAAATAACAGTAAATCATCAATCACACTAGACTCGGGCTCCATTAGCAACCTTAAGCAATTTCACACATGCGTTAATTCAAGAAATACTGTTTTATCATTTTGAACTTTAATACCGTGATAGGAAATAGGGTGAGGGGTCCTTACTTGTTTTCGGGATCCGAATACGATTCACAGTGCGCCTGCAGGCTGTCCCTAATTTTCCCCTGAATTTTTCCCGGGGAACTGAAACACGCTAACAGTACCTGCACGGGTTCCAAAAAAAATCCAAATTAGGCCCAGGGCCTCTTTCGGCCCAAATCGCAACTCCGGCACGGCGGCTCCGCCGTGCTCCGGCGACGGCGCCGCCGCTGGCGGCGGCGAGTCGCCTCGGGTTGACTGTTTTCGGCCGTTTTTGGCCGAATTCGGCCACACTCGCATTGGTCCTTGTCAGAAAACAACCCTAGGGCCCTCGGGGGGCCAAAAAATCACGGAAAAACGGAGCT